AATATATATATATATCAATATTTTCTATGGTTTATAAACCAATAACTTATAACTGGGGGGCACAACCTTGTAGGGACTTATAGCCCACCTGGAATCATGGTTAATAAGAGGAATCATCCCCAACATAGCCTTATTTCAGGTTAGTGAAATATTATTATTTACCCATATATATATATACCATGGGATCCATGTATGCTATATATATGGAAACTGGTAACATTTACCATCAATATACCCCCCATGTTAGCATATATACCAGCACCATAGATCCTATGCGATATATATATATATATATCCCACCTTGTGTATATCCCATATTCTAGTGAGGTCGTTATAATTTACCCATATATATATATATAATATGGTAATATATGGTAAATATATCGTTAGTATCCCATTTTTTTTGTTTGCTAGTTATTTACTACTAATGCCATACATATGGTAACATTTACCATCAATATACCCCCAATGTTAGCATATATACCAGCACCAAGGATCCTATGGGATATATATATATATATATATCCCACCTTGTGCATATCCCATATTCTAGTGAGGTCGTTATAATTTACCCAGATATATATATATATATAATATGGTAATATATGGTAAATATATGGTAAATATATGGTAAATATATAGCAGCACCATAGATCCTGAAATGTATATATATATATATATACTTGGTGGCTCATCCCACTTAGTAAGTGAGATATAACCCCAGTTATAAATGGGATAAGTAGGGTTAATCCACTTATAATTTGGGTTCTAACCATATATTTACCGTATATTTACCATATATTTACCATATATTACCATATATATATTATATATATATCTATCTATCTGGGTAAATTATAAGGACCTCACTAGAATATGGGATATATACAAGGTGGGATATATATATATATCAATATTTACCATGGTTTATAAACTACTAATGTGTGTGTGGCAGTCGTCAGGTCTCGGCGTGCCGGATCCAGACTCGCGGCGGCATCGGGTGCAGCTGCCAGCCCTGGGAAGTCCACGCTGAGAGGCCGGCCCTGGAGGGAAACTTTGAAGGAAACCATAGGAAAACCATGGGAAAAACAGGAAAAACCATAGAAAAAGCACGGAAAAACATGGAAAAAACACGGAAAACCATGGAAAACACATGGAAAACCATGGAAAACCATGGAAAACCATGGAAAAAACGTGGAAAACCAAGGAAAAAAACATGGAAACCCATGGAAAAAAACACGGAAAACCATGGAAAAAAATGGAAAACCATAGACAACCATAGAAAAAACACGGAAAACCATGGAAAAAACACGGAAAACCATAGAAAAAAAACACGGAAAACCAGGGAAACAACATATAAAACCATAGAAAAAACATGGAAAACAATATAAAAAATATAGAGAACCATAGAAAAAATATAGAAAACCATAGAAAAACATAGCTAAATCATGAGTTTCATTTTGTTGGAATTTTCTGGGGATCTAGTGATTTGCAGTTTGAATTCACCCTGGTTTTAACGATGTGATGCATTTAGCCAGTTAAAGAAAGCACCACTCAGAAAACTTGAGTTCTGGTGGACATGGGGGACAGTGCCTTTCGAGACATGTGCCCTTTTCTCTTTGTCTTACTGCTTTCCTGCAGCAAACTTCTATCATTTGCCATTTCTAAATTATTCTACATCAACTGGATCTGATTTTCAAGTGAAGCTTTCAAGCTTTGACTTCGCTCTCCGCTTGACTTCTCTAAGGTTATGTCTTCGGCACTTGGATGAGCAAAATTCAGTGAGCCGATCGTGCCCTGCGGTGTGTTGTCGTCGATATTTCCCCAGCATCATCCGACCCTGTGGGTTTTTTCCTACCACTGGCACCTTGAACACAATCGTGTTGCAACAATTCCTTTGTGGATGGCAACGCGAAAAAGATCAAGGGTCATGATTCCTTTGGGTAGATGTTTGTGGATGTGCGTGATGCCGCTATTGAACACATTTCGTGCGCTGAGCACCGCAGGACAGATCCCACTGGGCCTCCGGCAAATGCTTTCACAAGGGAAGTTGCCGGGCAGGCTACGCCAAGAGTTTGTGCTGCGCGCACGACGATTTCAGGCGCCACCACTTAGTGGATGCCCCAGGGGTGGACGCACTACGCTCTTTTCAGAGACAATTGATGCCATCGATCCCCAAAAGCACATGGCAACTCATGTTTTGATGAGTGACAGGTTTCGGTCTGGTGAGACAGCTGTAGGTTCACTATAATTTCACTATAATTATAATCCACTACTAAGCTGTGAACAATCCCATCCCCCTAATATGACCCCCCCAAATGGTCCCAAAGATGTGACTTCATCTCCTACTAAAACATGGTTTCTGGGGGGTCTTGAAAATTAGGATGGGATGATTGCTATCTTATATATATATATATAATTGTATCTCTCTAAAAACATGAAAAACATAGTTATCTACATAAATATATACATTATATATATATATATATCTATATATACATACATTATATATATATACACACATACTTTATATATATATATACACATTATATATAATGTATATATATATACACATTATATATATATACATTATATATATATACATTATATATACATTATATATATATTATATATAGATACACTATATATTATATGTATATACACTATATATATACATAATATATATATATATACATTATATATACATTATATATATATACTTTTTATATATATAAATAATATATATATATATACATTATATATATATTATATATATAGAGAGAGAGACATATGTATACATGTAAAACTGATAAACCCATTGGAAGTTGGGATCAGCTATCCCGCCCAGCCGATAGAGGCCCGATTCATCCCGGGCATGGTCAGCGTTGGTGTCAAGATTGGTCTGTGAAATGAACCACGATCACTCGTGAAACCTTGGTGAATGGTAAGTTTGTGGTTTATTGTTGTGCTAGAAATGAGAAAATGCGACAAATTTCAAATCAGCTCAAAATAGTGTTTTGCGAACTAGCGTATGGTTGGTAATGGCTATATGGCTATGCTACACCCCCGAAACTATTTTTTAAATCACGAATAAAACTTGAAAGTTGGAGAGCCAAATAGCATTTGCGTATTGGACACAGCTGATACAGTGCTACATCAGTGGACTCCAAAATACTATGTAAACACCGTCTTGGCGAGGCAAGTGACCAGATGTTTTTTCCTAGGTAAGCTTTCTCCCATAAAGTTGCATGAATCACCTGGTCTTTATATGTTTTTATTGGTAGGCTGTTAAGTCACCATGCTGATTCATATCCTTACTCATGGACTTCCGCCCCACAACCGTGAAAATGTCCCCAGCTGCCGTGGACGGATGAGGACACTCCGTGGAAGGGTCGAGTCCGTGGATAGTTCGACGCGTCGATTGCTGTTTGGGATCCGTGACTTTTCATGTCATTGCTGGGTGCACACCTGGGTCAAAGGTATAGGGAGGTGAATGGAGCACTGTCAAAAGTCGTAGTGAAATGGAAAACAGAATGACTATACCGTATTGTGTATCTCTACATGTTTAGATTTTCAGATATATGCATATATGATCCTATATATGCGTCTTTGTATCCAGGGTGGGCAACTATCAGAACAATGAAACTAAACACAAAATTGGGTAGCTGAGCCCAACACACCAACACTTCGCGTTAGGATCAGCTGCAGTTTCCCCGGCCTCCCACAGAAACGACGCGAAGCCCGTTTGATCCCTGATCCCAAACAGAAATCGAGTGTGCTGAAATGTTGACCTGATTTTTTGGCCTGAAGGAACAGGCATGCAGGGATCAAGATACAGAATTGAACCCCTGAACTTGCGGTGGGCTTCTCCCGCTGCCTGCAAGGGGCAAGACACGAATCATCCCTGCACACTGTACAGAACTTGTGGCCTCAAAGCTCCTGTTGCTCAAAGATGCATGACATGTTTTGATTTTTTTTGAAATGTTTTCTGGCATCATTTGATCAAACTTATCTCAAGCCCTTGGGGGATTCAGGAGTGCGTTCCTGCAACAAACTGATGCGTTGCGACGGGAAACGAACCTGGATGTTGAATGGATCATTGTCCGGCGCCAGTGGCGCCGCAACCCAAACTTGCCCAGACATCAGACATTGGCCGTTGTTCCATGTAGGTTCTTGTGGGCCTGTGGGTCAAATTTGGGATAAAGAGTTGGCCATGATACAAACAAATAAATACATGCATAATATATATATATATATCAACGATGTCCCTACAAAAACTTTCCTATGATATCCCATGATATCAATTTTTGGATAAACAAATTCTTTGAACTTCTCATGGGGATTGGCAATGATTTGGGGTTACTCTTAGAGGTATCAAAATTGCACGGGAGCCCAACGATAGTCCCATCCAACACCCAGGGGCTAGGTACGGCCATTGAAAAACGCCCTTCTCTTGGTCCGAGTCTTTGTCTTGGAGACTCTGTCGCGGGGGAAAAGCTGGCCGCAGGGTCCCTTGAGCCGGGATCGGGATTCTTTTCTAGGGTGCGGTAGGGTGTATGACATTCCTGTTGCTTGGAGATTGTCATTTTCTGTCCAGAAAACCACTTGCTGGTTTCAGTAGGAAAGGAATTGCTAAGTCGCATTTGACCAAGAAGATGTGGTTCTGGGGCTATTGAAATATGTGGCTCAAACCCAAGTCACCACAGTTTCATGATAGTTGATGTCAGAAATATTCAGAAAAATAGGTAAATCATGGTAAATCACCGAACTAAATGGGCCATAGCTTCCATAGCAAACTAGCAAACTGTGAACAATTACCAGGGGCTCAGAGGGCAAGACTTCAATGGCGCTGGAGAGAGAGTGAGAGAGAGAGGGATAGATGTGTGTATATATACATGTATGCATATATATATAATATGCATATATTACAAATTTAAATACATATACATACACAAGCACACACACACACATATATATATATATATCATACATTGGCACAGGTGATCAGCGGCTTCACAAGTGGGGCGGCCATCATCATTGCCCTCAGCCAGCTGAAGTGACCCTGCACCCGTTACGGTTGGGCGAATGGATATGAGGATGGATGAGTTTGGAACATTTGCTCAAGGCATTCCAACTTCACAGACTAATCTTTGTGAAAAAAACAAGCGGGATGCAGCAGGAAAGAGACATGCTCCGTCGCGTTTTCCCGTCTTCCAATCTTCCCAACTGCTGAAGTGGATGTTAGGTATGTACTTGGCTATGACCTTCCAAAGTCACAATACATCTATGAGACGTCTCTCAGCTTGGGTGACCGGTGGGTGCTGGCACCAGAGTTTCGGGTATATACTGGGGATCGTTTTTTGCAGTGATAAGTTGTGCTGGATCAAACTGGGGCCTCAGTTTTGTGGAATGCATCGAATTTCAGATGTGGTCTGGAACAAGGCACCTGGCAGGCCAGGTGGCCTTTGGCTGGTCCATGGTTTCCAGTTCGCAAATGGTAGAAACATCGAGGGTATGTTTGGTCATGTCAACCCTGGATTGACAAACCCCAAACGACTGTTTAATTGGGGGTAAACCAAGTAAGTATCATATTACTAGTATCACTACATGGAGGGTACCCCAATAGACCATGGTTGCCTCCGATCGCGAGCCCAGGATCTATAATGTGATCATCAAGATCGACCAAACCAAGGGGATGCCTTTGCTCTTAGGCTGTGTTTGGCTGGCTTACCTGCGCCTCGGATAAAACGTGCCCAATGGGCTTATCCTGCGGCTGCTTAAGACGGGCCCTGGAAAGAAAAATGGAAGAGAATGGAAGCACATCGCATATATATATATATATATACTGTATATATAATTATATATATACTGTAATATACTGTATATATATATATAAATAGAAAGATCTGAGAAATGAACTTGGAAAATCTCCAGGAGCGGGATTGCTCTGAAGTTTTGACCCTTGCCCCAAAATAGCTTATCAAATCAGCAATGCTTCCCCTTGTCTTGCTGGTCAGAAGATCCGAATTTGCTCCAATCTGTGCTGTTGAAACTCTCCAATTTTTGTGTTTTTTCTTCGGAGATCCTTTGTGAAAATCAGCTTTCAGGATCACCAACAAAAACTTGGCGCTGAAGTTCAAGCGCTTGAAGATGTTGGGCCCCATGGGCCCTTTGATCAGCTGTTTGGTGGGAACAGCATCTTGCCTTCTCGGTCCGGGTAGGGATGGCTGGATCCCTTAAGGTGTTTTTGAGCTGAGAATTCTCCGGCTTTATCAAGACTTGGAGCCATAGTGCCATGGTGTTAGGATTGTAGTTGTTTTTTTTGGGGGAGGGTGGTGGGGAATTTGAGATTGGGCTACTTCACATACAGATTTTTTTGTTCCAACATGTTCCAACATGTTCCAACGGAAGATCCGCATCGCCAGTGTCATTCGGGCAAGTTCGAAGCCTTGTTATGGAGTCCCCTTTCTTAGCATGGCTGTCAGGGCCTCAGGGTGTTTCGCCCATGCATCCTCCTTTGGTAATCAACCGCCGCAATGGACACTTTCCAATTGGTAGGGAGTATCCCAGCCATGTTTGATTAGCGGCGGGGAATGGAGTCTGCCCAGCCGCTTGAAGCAAACAAATGGAGGTTACCCAGCCATGGAGCTCTAAAACTACTGCAAGGCAAGGTGATGTTTACAGTTGATGTCAATTATATAGATGTCTATAGATGTGTAATCCCTTTCCCAAATATTAATAAATACCCGCTTGAAACGCTTGAAACCTTGGTTTGTCGTACTGGATTTCTTCATTTTGGAGTCCCTTGGGACCTGCATGGGATTTCATGCGCATGATGGGATCATGTTTTATCCATCACCGAGGTGATGATATGGGCATTCCCCATCTTCACAGAGACCTTTCACGTGAAATACGTGCCTAAGCAGCTTTGTTTTGTCCGCTTCGGACGCCGGAGCCATCCATCGGGGCTGCGGGTGAACTGCTTCTTTGAAATGAGGTATTCAACTTGCAAAAAGGACTATGCAGCTGTTCAACTCGTAAATCAGATAAATAAGTGGGTAGTACTCGGGCTTAGGCTTACAGGAGTTGTTTGAATCTCTTTTGGGGCTCAGACACTGTGCTGCTCATTGGTGTTTCCTTGTCATTTTGCAAGATGACTTTACTCGGGGTCATTTGTGGCCAAAACCTGGCCATTGGTGTACACCTGAACGGAACATCGAATCCCGATGAACCAAATCACGACCACGCCCAGCAAATATACGTTATTTGAGGAGCCCCAAGTCAAAAGGAATGAGCTTTCAGTTTGATTTGGGATGAGATGCCACAAACAGAAAATGATGGCACCGCCTATCCCCCATAGCCAGTTCCAGGATAGCTTCACGGTCCGGGGTCGGCTTGAGGTTGGTGAGATTCCTTCAGGCCTGTTTCCTATGAGCATTGATAGCTGGCAGCTGGCCAAAATCCCCACCGTCATCGGTACGGCCATGTCGGTTACTTGGCGGCATTCCATGGGGCTTTGAGGCAAAAACTGTAGCAGTGATGAGAGGGGCAGATTTCAGTGCCATGAGATCCAGCTGGGTCTGGGGATACGCGTGACCACATTCAGCTTCTTCTTTTTCCTCAAAATAGCCAGGTGACTCATCACTATGGTGATGCTCTCCTCTCAATGAAATAGCTCAAAGACTTTCTTTGAAAAGAGTGCCCGGGGGCCATTCCAAAAGGCTGCCTGCTAGCATCTGCCAGTTATAAATGAAATTCTGCTGTAATCGCTGCCATGCCTACCCTTGGAACCGTTGGATTGATCGGTAATTAATTGGGTTTGCTGTTTTTTTTGGGGGGGGGGCCCACATGAGGAGCATTGAACATGATTTGCAGAGAGCATCACCAACACATCCTTGGGACATTAAGAAAGTCCCGCGCTTGGGTCATGTTATGTTTTGGGGCCCCCCCAAAAAGGAACATCCTATCAAAACAACTGTTGTGCGCATCCCCTTAACAACTGAAATACAAAGTTTGGCGCCCCAGCTGATGGCCAACTGGTGGCTTCAAAGTGATTTTCCGTTGTCCATCCTGGAACGATGCTTCCAGTTGACGAATTGTATGATACTCATTGGGATGGGTTTAATAAAGCCATCCAGCCAACCCTTCAATGGATTGGTTTGAGGTAAAATTCACAAACAATTTTTTTGTTCGTTTCTCATGATAGGGTCTTCCTGACAAGTTGTCTGGCGGCTGCAAGAAGTCCCAAAAACAAATGAACCGAGATCATGGTCTGAAAATGCTGGGGGTTTTCTGCAGGCCAAGTTGATCAATGGATCTGTTGATGGTAAGCTCAAAAAGTACAGGAAGCCATTGCTTTTATATACTCGGTAGAAAAGTGGTTTCCATGTTTTTTCTCCCCTAGCAGGGACCATTACGATTTCCCTCAGCATCCCGGGACCATCATAAACCCTTGTCTAGGAATACTATGAGCTCCAATCTCCATGCATTCCCCTTCAACCAACCAAATGATATACGACGGATCAAACATTTCCCAGTCTATCAACATGAAATTCCATTAAAGTTGCACATAAAGTTTACAAACGAAAAAACAACATATATAATGCCATCATACATTCCATGACCATTCTACAATGCTATGGAAAACCAACCATGTTTCCCATACTGTAGTTTCCATATTTTTCAGGAAAAAAACAGCATAATGTCCATACTTTCCATTCAAGACCATAAGAATGGCTATAGAAACCTACCATTGTTCCATATTCATCCATATATCCTATCTGGTTGGTGGTTTGGAACATGAATTTTATTTTTCCATATATTGGGAATGTCATCATCCCAACTGACAAACTCCATCATTTTTCAGGTTAGGTCAACCATCAACCAGATTATTGTAAACCATCATTAACAATATATAATAACCATAAATATTAACCATCATTAACAGTATATTAACCAATAATACCATATACCCTCTGGTTATTCAACATAGCCATGGAAAATGGCCCATAGAAATAGATGGTTTACCGTTCTTAATAGCATGGTGGATCCATGGCGAACTCATAACCAGATGGTCTCCTATTGTCTCAGCTGCAAAAAACTGCGGATCATTAGGCCACCCTGATCGGCTATATGGAATCTATTGCCATCGGCAAAAACCTGGCGGCCACCAACGGCTACGAGATCGACGCCACGCAGGAGATGCTGGCGCTGGGCATCGCCAATGTGGTGGGAGCAGGGCTTCCCAGGGGCATCCTGCTGTTATTATATATTTGATATTATTCACTATAGTAACTGATATAGTTACTATATCAAATTACTATACCTGGTAATATCTATATTAAATATCACATAGCAATGTTAGTTTATGGCCCATTTATAGTTGATTTACCTTTCAAAGACTGTGATGTTCAATCACTATATATATATTAATATAGGGCAATGTTAATATTACTAGATGGGAATATGATGGACATATCACCAACGATGGCGGGTTCCATAAAATGATGGATCTAGTGGAAAATCCTATTAACCTGGATGATTTAGTGATGCGGGCCTCACGTAGTGGAACAGTGGAACATAAAGAGATATACTTGGTTCAAATGACTTACCCTCTGGTTATTTAACATAGCCATGGAAAATGGTCATTTGTAGATGGTTTACCTGGGTTTACCTATTGAAAATGGTGATTTCCCATGGCAAACTGTTAGTCATAACCAGATGGTAGAGACACTTAGGGACTACTTGATGGTTAGTAATCCAGGATCCAGGTTAGTCCGTCAGCTTATCCCATAGCGCAATCGCGCAATCGCGAAGTGGATTTAAGCCTGAAAAAATCCATGGGACATCTGGACTTAACCTATAAACATTGGGAATTCTGCTTGGTTCATGTTAGCTAAGAAGGATCTAAGAAGGATCTAAGAAGGTTTACTTCAGGTAGTGAAGTATTGGTTTATGGCAGACAGCTCCATAGTTGTAAATGGCTTGCAACCCATTTACAACTGCGGGACACCACCTTGCATGGGTTCAGCTGATAGAATCAACGATCAGGGATCATTGATAAACCAACCATGACTGGGAATGGTTTATAACACCCATAAAAAAATGTGATTCTGGGGATTGTGTATCGGTATACCACATGAATCTAATTGATAGTTAATCAATGGTAATCAACGGATCACATTCTATCGATCAACCAATCAACGGATCACATTCTATCGATCAATCAATTCCTCCTTATGATAAGGACAGACAAGGACCCTTCCTTGCTTGCCCATGTCCGTCGACACACACACAAAAATGTGTCTGCGAAGTGAGGCAGCGTTCAGTTGCTACCCTGTCACTGGATCATTCAGTCGTTGCTTGCACGGAATGGAACTGCCGCGGCTTATCACCACCCATATCAGCCTTGCAATATTTAGATAGGTGATGTTGGAACAACATGTTGGTAAGGACAGCAACATATGGCAATTATATGCAATTACCTCCAAGAAAGACAGAACAGTAATTTATTTCTCATGCACATTCCTTGTCCCTTGTTCGGGAGTTGCTATATGTCCAAGATATGTGGATTTTGAGTAGCGCAACCACCTTTGCCTGGCATTTGCCATGCGAAGTTGATAAAGCGGATCATGTGCTTCCGTCAAACTGGAAAACTGTGCTGTTGATATGGGTTTTGAACCAGCCGTTTCACGGGGTTGCAAGCATCAGAAAAAATCTGGATCCAGCATGATTTAACACTGCCATATTCAACCAAATGGATTCGTAAGATGTACAGGAAAGGTGGTTTCCCTGCAATATTGCGGTCAAACCAACTCTTTCATGAGGAATCAGCCATCAGCTACAGTGATGGGTGTGTGTCCATTTTCTGACTCATGGAATGAATGGTAAACGGGGGATTTGGAGGGTAAAAACAAAAACTACTTTCAGACACTCCATTTTGGTCGGGATCCTCCAAAAATATCCAATTGAGTGTGACTTGACTCACATTTTTGAAATTTCTTGAAATCAACTATAAAATCCATGGTTTTGTGCTGGTCAAGTCATGGTGTTTTTCCATGTTTTTTTGCGTTTCACTGGATCAATGGTCCAAAGATTTGGACCGCTCTCGAAATTTTCCCCGACGTTTCCGAATGAGCCATTCAAAAAAGCCTACAGGCCTACAAGGTTGTGCCCGAGCAGTTATAAGTTGGTTTATAAACCATAGTAAATATTGATATATATTGATATATCTACCTAATCAACCATAGTGAAATTGGAGTTATTTGCACCAACTTAGCTAACGAACTGGGGCACCACCTTGTGTATATCCCATCTCACTATTCTATATAGTTGCTTGATAAGTTCCCTTTCCATGGCCTATCATAATCCCCAGTACATTAGCTAGTATAAGCCCCAACAGTTCGCAACCAATCAACATCAACCAGGCTATAATTGTATAATGTTCATGGCTCGGATGTTGGGGTATAGCCAACCAGACTATAGCTATAACTGATTATTTCATCTTATTTCTTGATTAATTATGATATACATGTTCCATAAATGGGGTGACTTAGTACTTATAACTGGTATTTCGGGCTATAAGTCCCTAAGAGCCTATATCAACTTATCTAAACCTATGTCCGAGGCTCCGCGGTGAATAACTCCACGGGAGCCCTGTCGCAGTTCAGTGGCGTACTCACGGCCTTGGTGCCCTTGGCGGAGCTTCAGTGGAAATGGAGGGATTCTACGGGATTTCATACCCATAGGTGCCATAGGATCCATGGTGCTGCTATATATGGTAACATGGATCCCATCCATATACCCCCAATGTTAGCATTAATATACCAGCACCATGGATCCGTCATGGGATAGTGGATGTTTCTATGGGACTTCTGGATTTCATATTTCGGGATTGCTGGATTTGGAAAAATGTGAACAGAAACCTATTTCATATGGATATAACATAATGCTGGGTTGAAGCATGGAACATGGACGATTCAAGCGGTGAAAATGGTGGGTTTGACAAATGTTTGCCGTAGAAAAATGGAAAATGACGGATTTTAAGCAATGAAGGGATTTGGAAATTGGGATTTCATGTGATTTAACAAAGTTACCAAGGGATACAAGGTGGGATAACTAAGTTGATCATTTGATCGTTGGTTTTTTCTGTGAGAAACTGGTGGATGAACCTCCAATTCTTGTCATTCTTACCCTCTGGTAAACTAACATAACTATGGAAAACCCCCTATTTAATAGGACAACTCACTATAAATGGCCATTTTCAATAGCTATGTAACAAATTACCAGAGGGTAAAATGATGACCCTCCAATGGGAGTTTGGGGTACCATGGGTACCATATTTTCGGACCCAGATAGCGACAATGATTGATGTGATTCCCAGAAAATGTGGTGCGATATGCTGAGATTACCCCGTGGTAATTTGTTGCATAGCTATGGAAAAAAGAACTGAAAATTGTCCATTTACAGTGGATTTACCTATTAAAAGATGGTGATTTTTCAGTTCGCTATGTGGCTGTTTACCAGAGGGTAGTGGTAACCTGCCAATTTGGATGATACTCCGCTGGCACCGGACTGGTTGATATAGGTAGCCTAAAACTGGTTGATGGTTTGGAACATGTTTTATTTTTCAATAATATATATATATATGGGATAATCCTTCCCATTGACTAATATTTTTCAAGATGGTTAAAACCACCAACCAGAAAATATAGGTACCCCAAAATCATCAACTTGCATAGGATTTTCCATTATGAACCATCCATTTGGGGTGATGTTTCAGGTGCCAGATTAGATTGCCGGATGGTTTGATGCCTCCAGCAATGCACTACATGTGGTGATGATTTGTGATCGGCTGCATATGGCAAGAATTACATGTTCATTTCTTCCAGATGTATACCTATAAAATTGCTAAACTATACAGTATTATATCATATATATCTACATATGTCGGAGGTACAACATGTTTTTGCGTTATTCAAAAGTGGAGAGGGCGAACCATTTATAATTTATAATTATACCTTAAACAAACAAATACTGTACCCTTTGGTAATTTATCATAGTTATGGAAAACCCTTTTTTTTAAGGCAAATCATCATAAATCATCGAAGTACATGGGCAATTTCGATATCCCGATTTGCAAACAAAAAAGCAGGGAAACTCTATTCTATTCCATAGCTCTGTTAAATTTCGAGTACTGGGAATCTATGCCACTATGCGCCATGTCAAATTCCCAGACCCTACTGCCATCTTGCCAGGTGATGTTGGCCACGCTCATGTTTTTGACGCCGCTGTCTCTTGCAGGATTCGTTTCCGGGGGAACTCTTCGATGCTCCGGCATTTTTTCCAGGGGATTTCGTCACGAAAATATCGGTGTTTTATATACGATTTAAGCCATGAAGTTGTGGGGGTTGAACCATCAAAAAGATGGACTTAACCACTGATGAATGTGGTTGGATACCCCACACAATTCCAATGTCAATGAGAAAACACAATTGTGATCAACTATCGGAGCACCACAGTTCTTAGACCAAAGTCGTGTTCACTTCGTGTTTGGCGAATTCCAGCGGAGATCTCAAGGGGTTGTTGAACATGCCCAAATCTTCAAAGCACACTTAGGTGACCATCCCTTTAATATTTTGTCCAGAGTGATGAGGAAGACCTTCATCAAGCAAGGTACCAACTCACAAATCACAAAAAAAGACATGTTTATTTGGTTGGTGGTTATTTTCCATATATTGGGAATGTCATCATCCCAACTGACGAACTCATATTTTTCAGAGGGGTATATAGGTATACCACCAACCAGACATGTTTCCATATTTTTCCCGCTGCCACCAGGGGTGCATCCAGTTCCGGCGATCTCAGGTTCTACTACCTCCCCAAGTTCGCCCTGGCCGCCATCGTCATGAATTCGGTGATCCCTTTAGTGGCCTTTCAGGAAGCGCGGCATTTGTTCCACGTGAAGAAGCAGGATTTCCTGCTGTGGGCATCTTGGCGCTGGACCGCTGGACCTGCAGATTTCTGGGAGTTTTCGTGAACTTGGGGGATGATGGTCATGAATAAGTCATTACATTAATATATACATCTTTTGGTTTCTTGTAGATACATGATTAATCTATGGTTAATAATGGTTAATAGTTAATAATGGTTAATAATGGTTAATAATTGGAATAACAATATATCTGGTTGGTGGTTTGGAACATGACTTTTATTTGTCCATTCTTTTGGGAATGTCATCATCCCAACCGACGAAGTCCATCATTTTTCAGAGGGGTGGCGAAAAACCACCAACCAGTATTAATAGCCTATCTACTCCAAGGATGAAGAGTGGAACCATCTAAAAACATCTCAGAACTATTCAAGGTCCGTAGGTCCAGCTGAGAACTGCCAGTCTGTCGTCCTGGCGAAACCCAATTCACTATGGCCATAAACCCCGAGTTGAATTATAAACAACTTTCGCTAGCTATGACTTTTTTGACCTTGTGACAACTGGCATATGAGTCAAGATATTTGACATTATTTGACACATAAAACACATTTTCCTAGATGTTGCCCACATATTCCTATATATTGCCCATATTTGTCCAGTCAAATTGGGAATGTTCACACACACATACATATATATATATATATATAGTGTGTGTATGTATATATATATATGATTCCTTATATTTTCCTATTTTTCCTATATGTTGCCCATATTTGTCCATTGAAACTGCTGATTCCTTAGGTCACTGCCTTCTTGGGCACTCTGTTCTTGGGAGTGTTGATGGGCATTTTGGTGGCCGTGGGTCTCAGTTTGATCATCGTCATCTACGAGTCCGCGCGGCCGCAGATCACCATTCTGTGGCGCATCCCAGGGACCTCCATCTATCGCAACATGAAGCAGGAATCCAGTGGCACCTTCATCCAGACACTCGGTTTGGTTGATGGCCATTGGTGGCGCCCCAAACAAGTGGAGCTCTTTTCGTAGTGCCAAAAATCAGTGTTTTTTTTTCAGCTAAAGCCGACTCAGTCATTTTCATGATTTTTGTTCAAGTGACTGCGGGAAAATGTGGTGTTTAGGTGATTCGAGTGAATGGCCATTTTAGGACCCTGAAGTGGAGCCAACTGTGCTTAATCTATAAATTGTGTGGGAAGATTCCCTAAAATTTAGCCATGAAAAATATGTTCAAAGTAAGACAACATAGCATGGTTTTTCATGGATTGTTTGTTAAAATAACATGTTTCAAGGCACCGAAGCGTGGAATGACTGAGTTGTAAGTAAGAGAAAACAAATCATTTTTTGTACCGTAGAAAATGTTACTTACGGCAGCATAAACTGTATGTTGTTGAGGATACTCAGATACGCCAGTTTTTCGTCCCGGTGCAGTTGGAGAACATCAGAGCCCACCTCGGGGTCCGCCTCTCTGCAGTGGTCAGGAACGTCTTCATTGCACGCATCGGCTCATCCCTGTACTTTGCCAACGCTTCCTTTGTCACTCCAAGGGCAGGGATGGGAGGTCAGAGTTGTTTTGTTCCATGGATCACTGCAGAATCTACCCATCATGGGTCCGCGGCCGGGCAAGCACAACCCAGATGCTCCCCCCTTTTTTCCAGTCAACGGCTTTTAGATGAGACACCCAATGTGTTGCGCTCATCTCGATTTTGATTATTTTTGTTGATAAAGGCAAGAACATTTAAATTGTTTGCTGTGATTTGGATCATGCATAGCTGTGGAAAATGGCCGACAAGGCCTGCAAGAATGACAGTGAAAAGGGGGAAAACCATCAAGTTCATTCATTGCCTTAAATTTAGGATTCTCTCTGAATTCCTCAGTCTAGACACACATGGTTTCCAGAGGTAATTTGAATCATCCAGCATTACTATGGTAGCATATTTGCTTTCTCGCCCCACTTACGATTCGTAGGTTAGCTCACCCGAATTATATGTGGATTAACCCACTTATCCCACCTATAACATCTTATCCCTACTTATCTTATATTCTATGTGGATTAATTAATGACTATGATCTGCAGAGACATAACCTACTTAGGAAATGATCCAAAGATTTTCCTGGAGCCCCGAGGTGAAGGAAATGCTTCTGTCGCACGTCAACGACTTGGAGGAAGTGAACCCCACGCGGTATATAGCAGCTTGGCATAGCTTGGCGGCGTCGAACCGTGGTACCGTGGCCCATGGTGGACTGGTAGTGATTCCACGGATATTCTATGAGAACATATGGGAAACTAGGGGAAAATATGGGAACATGTAGCTTGCATTGTAGTATTCAAGCCATAAGGCATACAAGTGATCAATCTTGTCAAGCTTGGCCGCCACCCAGTAATAATAAGTCCATGGCATGGAAAATATCTAGAAGAGGTCACGCATAGCCGGCTGCTTTTCATTGCGTACTTTCCCTGGTCCGCTATTCCATTAGAATAGAAAAAGCACAATTTGGTAGCAAATCTATGCAGTTTTACTACAAGTTTAGATGCACAGCTATCCTGGTTTCCAGACATCAAAAAGCTTTGGCACGTTGTCATTGCAGTAAAACGTAGTAAAACCACAGTTGGCTTCACGCCCATGTTTGCTGGCTACATCCTAGTGGCTGTTGCCCTGCAACATAGCTATTTGGTTCATTGAGCTCCATTGATTCAAGGTTATTGAGTACCATTAGATGTTTGGATGATTACTATCCGATCCAATCTATCAGGAACAGGCGATATTATACCAATTCTCATATTGGATGATACCAATCAAGACTAATAATATAATAGTCCGCTATGATTCAATTCCCATGATGTCAATATATAATAATGATATATATATATATGGATATATAATTATATTTATTTAATCCATCTTGATAATGTAGTTCATTTTTTTTGCATACCATAATGGCAATACAGTATTCTGGTTGGTGGTTTCCAAAAAAAATGTATTTTCCCATATAGTTGGGATGATGATCCAATCTGACGAACTCATATTTTTCAGGGGGGTGGCGAAAAACCACCAACCAGAACTGGATGCCAATCAGTGGCTCAGGTCCTGGAAATGCTCCTCGGCAGAGTTGTTGCGGTTTCGCAGGGTGAAAAGGGCCAGTGATGGGTTGAAAGGCCCGCGAAAAATTGGTGGTTTTAATGGTTTTAATGGTGGTTCTAATGGTGGTTTAATGGTGGTTTTTAAACTTTAAACATGTATAGTTTCAAACCATCTATATAATTTGGAGTAGCCTATCGGAAAAAAACAAAAAACAATATTTTGCCAGTAGACATGATCATGATGGTTGCATCTCGTTGCCACTCTTAATTTGCCGCACGTCTTCTTTTCCCGGGTTTGGCACATGGTCCAAGTGCAGAAAGATACTGGAGCTGCTAGAAGCTAAGTTTCTGCCAAATCTCACCTTCACAGGAACCAGCAGTGGATGATACCCATTTGGCCCATCCCACTGACCCTGGGTCCCTGGCCGGACATGGATCCAACGGCCACTACCGAGGACCCCGGTGATCTCTGTGGATTCCACCGCCTGTCACGTCATCAAAGACGTCGTGAATGACTTCCGCACGAGGGGCACCAGGGATTTTTGTGGGGGAAGGATGACCGGGAGCCCTGAGGAATGATGAAAAATGGAAAGCTTTGCTAAATAGTAAGCATGTGGATGCATTTGATGTCTTTTTCCCCACCTGCCAGGTGAGGGTTGTTAGATTTTATGTCAGTTCCCTGCTCCTCCTCTCCTCTTCTCCTCTCCTCCTCCTCGTCGTCCTCCTCGTCCAACTGCGACCCGCGATCCACAGTGTTCTCTGTCGGACCTCAACCACGACCATCCACGCCCAGTGTTCCCTGCCGGACCTCAACCACCATCCCCGCCCAGTGTTCCCTGCCGGACCTCAACCACGACCATCCACGCCCAGTGTTCCCTGCCGGACCTCAACCGCGAGTATCCACGCCCAGTGTTCCCTGCCGGACCTCAACCACGACCATCCACGCCCAGTGTTCCCTGCCGGACCTCAACCACGACCATCCACGCCCAGTGTTCCCTGCCGGACCTCAACCGCGAGTATCCACGCCAAGTGTTCCCTGCCGGACCTCATATGGCAAAGTGTTCCCTGCCGGACCTCATGAATATGCCAGAAGAATGCCAGAAGATATGCCAGAAATGAGATAGAATGCCAGAAGATATGCCAGAAGAATATGCCAGATAGAATGCCAGATATGCCAGAAGCCAGAAGATATGCCAGATAGAATGCCAGAAGAAGATTTGCCAGATAGAATGCCAGAAAATATGCCAGAAGATATGCCAGATAGATATGCCAGAAGATATGCCAGAAGATATGTCAGAATAATGGCCAGAAGATATGTCAGATAGAATGCCAGAAGATATGTCAGAATATATGCCAGAAGATATGCCAGATAGAATGCCAGATTGAATGCCAGAAGATATGTCAGATAGAGTGCCAGAAGATATGCCAGATAGAATGCCAGAAGATTTGCCAGATAGAATGCCAGAAGATATGCCAGAAGATATGCCAGATCATATGCCAGAAGATATGTCAGATAGAATGCCAAATAGAATGTCAGAAGATATGTCAGATAGAATGCCAGAAGATTTGCCAATAAGAAAATGTATAAATGCCATGGTGGGGATCACACGAAGTAAAGTAATTTCTTTAATTTTTGGATTGATTTGGTGCCACATGAATTCTTGCGGCATTAGTCATATTAATCGAATTCATGAACTTAGTTTGACTCATGGTGTTTTCCATGCCTATGCCTTAAATATGCTCAAATCCTCAGAGTGGTGCGGCTCAGTTGCCATCGAGGTATGCACGTCGCTTTCGCCATGACGGGCAACCGGGTGGAGAAGACGCTCCGCAAAGCGGGGCTGCGGAAGTTCATCGGGGACCAGTGGTTCTTTCCCACCGTGGAGGTGCCTGGCCAATTCCTCTGTTTTCAGGGGCGGCTTTGGGGGATATTTCAACATCCTTGGCTTGGGAGGTTTCAAGTTTTCAAGTTATTGTTTCTAACCAGGCTTGGGATGATTGGTTGAGATGACTGAAATGACTTGTGTATTGTTGGGATACGTATGGATATATTGGGATGGGTGCAAACCACCCAGCAACTGAGTTTTGGGGCAGTTTGAAAAGATAATGTTCATGACAGTTCATAGTTCATGATGGTCAATGAATTGATTTTAATGTAGATAGGACAGACCAGTGTTCAGAGTTCAGGCTTGTTACGTCGTGTTTTTTGGAGGTTGGCAGGAGATTCCACAAGATTCCACATGGTCGTTTCTCAACACTTTTCTCATATTTCATTTCATCTCATTCCTACTAGTAGATACTGGAATCTTATTCCATCTTATTCCTAGATACTGGATGATACTGGAGGGAAACATAGGGAAACCCTTTTTGACTTGGAAGATGTTGGCTTGCAGCCCATGGTGACAGGAGGCGGTCCAGTACTGCGTGAAGCACCAACATGCCAGGTGTCGCAGCTGAAGTGACTAGCTGTGACTGGGGTGTTGATCAGTTGTCAAACATCATGGAGGATATGGGCATACAGATATACAGATATACTGATATACCATAAATCTATAATATATCATTATATCTCTTCAATTCTCTATGAAAATTTATTCTTGATAAGATTATTATATATTCATGTATATATATATAAATATTAATGTATATATACCTATCAATTATACCCAACTGGCAATAGCCGCTAAAGCCAGGTGGAAAATGGTAGACATTCCCTTCCCGCCATGTGACAGGCGCCGTCAGAGCAAGGGATCCTCAGAGGGTCAGGAGAAATTGGACCAGGCCAAGATCGATGAGACGCTTGGAACCCTTTGGGATATGCTTGGGATATGGTCAGGCTCTGACTTTGTTTTTTTACATGGACAATCATGATATGGCTGGATGATTTAATATGTCAATTTCATCATTTGTTTATAGCTTTTAGTTCTAAGATGTTCTAGCAATATGGACTTGTTGTATGGTGTTTCATGTCATTGCATGTGCATGTATTTCATGAAGCCCACAGTGGCAACAAAACGCCTGGAAAGCCATTCGCTTGATTTCTTCAGGAGTGCATTGATGTACAGGGCTAGTGGTGGGCCTCTCCAGTGTCCTCAGTTCCCAAGATGATCAAGTCATGTGCTGTCAAGCACGATTCTGCAGTGTGCGGAATCGCCGAATAAATGGCCTTCATGTGCCAGAATCACCTATTGTCATTTGATACCATTCGTATTGCACCTACATTACTATTTGTTTCATGAAACTGATTGTATGATTATAAAAACAGTATAATGATTAGTATGGCAATGCCATAAACCAGCCGGATCCATCTGGTTTCAGTCCCCATCAATCCATGCCGAGTCATTGGGGCTTCCAACCGCTGGCAGCGAGGATTGACATCTCTGCGATCCAGGTGCACTGTGGCAATGAGATCGGCTTCAGCAATGACCTGCACTCCAACTGCTCCATGGTCTTCGTGAGTTTGTCCAAGGATCTGATTTAAGCTGATATTTGCTGATCTGCTGAGATGGAAAAAATGACTCTGATGATTGAGTCGTCAATGATTTTTGATTTTTTTTGCCCTCTGGTTACTTCATCTAGAAAACAGGAAAAACACGTGTTGCTCTAATAGGTATAGTATCAATCATCTATACATTGGCCACGGCTTCCATGGAGATGTGAAATAACCATCGTGGAAGTTTCGATGTTCGCAAAGTTCACTGGATTTTTTGTCGGGGAATCTCTCTGGAGCATATCGAGCAGTGAGCAGTTCGTCAGGATGTGCCCATGATCATGACGGAGATCACAGGCGATGGGGGATGAAAGGATATGATTGGGGTAGGGGGAAGTGATGATTGGGGCTTTTAAGATAGTTTGGATGCCACGCTTTGTCTGGGCGGATGGTGTCAAGCCAGTTAAGATGTGATTTGTTGGCGGGCATCTAATATAGAGAGAGATTATCTAATTACAGCACAGTAAAGTATATTAAAGTTCGTTAATTCATCTTAATTTTCTTCAGGTCAATGATGGATGATGGAGATAATTAGATATCACGCCTCCGGTGGCCTCCTTGTGCCAGGCGTTTTCAAGAAGAACCACATCACCATCATCAGAGCTCAGATTGATCCCACGGGGGATGAGATGGGAGCACCTTGATGAACGACCAGCCTTGTCGCTGATGATGTAAAGGTGCATGATGGTTGGTGAATGATGGTTGGCTTACTACTATTAACTATTCTATGATTTCTATGATTTCTATGATGGTTGGTGAATGCTGGTTATTACTATTCTATGATTTCTATGATTTCTTTCATAATCTTTCATATGTAATCATTAGAATCTAGGCATTGATTGTTGATAATTACATGCGCTTTACACTGTGACTGTTGTTTTGATTCAACAACGTATAGTTATATATACGTATATAATATATATATATATAACATTGTAGAACTAAATAATTATATGTAGATAAACATTGGCAGGATCCCAAGAGCAAACATGCACTACCACTTTTTTGCGATGGACTTTGAGGAGGTTCAAATTTATATTTCAAACACAGTGCAATTACCTGCATGGATTGTCAATCTATATTCGAATTTTTGAGTTTGAGTGTTGGATTAACATGTTGAAATATGTTGAACATGGAATTCGAGCTATCTGCGGTCAGCTCATATCACAGCGACGCACTACGTTTTGGACGTCAAAAACGGACGTAGGACTCCTAGCGACTCGTCGTGCCAAGGCGAAGCACATCTATTTCGTGCGCAGCTTGCGCACGCAATCGAAGCTCTCGGGTGTCGAGGCTGGAGGTTGAGTATCCAGATAGTAACCCATAGCCCCAAAAAGATTGAGAAGCTGTGACAAGAGCTGTGTGTTTGCCAGAATTTGTCAGACATACTGCCATACTGATACAGTAACTGTACTTCTTGATCTTTGTCGGTGATATTGTTCACACTTCACATTCTTCATATCCTTTCCATATCTTTCACATCCCTTTTTCAGCAACATGCAAAAGGCGATCAAGCGACACTCGTAGGTCTCAAGGGTGCGAGAGGATTTGGAGGTGGTTCTGCGGAGACATAAGCTCCTGGCGGCAGGGATCTCTTCAGGTGGCCAAAACGCTCTGCAAAAAATAGGGGAATATCCCAAGGCCGTCCGCAGAAAGGGGGCATATTTTTGGTATTTTCGAGTTGAACCAGCTATGGAGAATCCCAAAACGTGTGTATATAACATGTATATATATATAGAATATTCATTAATTCATATTCTAGATTCTAGATGGGATGGATTTTCATGGACTTTCAACCACTTACCAACTGAGATGCACTTCCAAGGACCGCAATTTTCTCGGTGTGTTTTGAAGATGTACCTCTGGGATCCTCTGGGGAAATAATACCCAGCTGAGGCTTAACTTTGTTTTTTGGCAGCTATCTAAGATTTGCGAGTGAGATCTGAAAACGTGCCATGGACTATAGCGGACTTCTGGACTACTGACATGATTGGTTTTCAACAACAAGATGCGGATATGAACCAAAGCTGGGTGGCGTACGTAGCTGATCTAAAAGTCAAAGATTGGGAATTGAACATTGATTCTATCGTAATCCCAATCTTTGGACCTGACATGGGAATATAGCCTATATACAATATATATATATATATCTATATCTGATCTATTGCCACATATTGCCACCAACTGTAATAGGTAAAGGGAAATCAAGCATATTTATGATGAGTGGCTCAGATTTTTCAGGGGGAATCCATCAACACTGATTGGGGGTTTCCCTCACCATTTGGCAACAGGATCATGAGGACCTCATGAATCCATGATGTCAAATGGTCAGCTCGATCAATCCTTTAGCCTCCAGATCAACATAGTCGACATAGTGCCTGAAAATCACAGCCTTCCAAAGCCAGACTGATGGAAGGGTCTATGTGGAAGTTTGTGTTTGGGGTATGTTTTGCTTAAAGGATCTCTTTAACAGGTGGGAACTCCGCAGAGCTCAACAAATCTGAGGTTGATGAGCAGTAGTTTCAGAGATTTGAGTAACTTTGACGGCATTTTGACATTGGGGGGATGGTATATCCATAGATCTGGGGTAAATTATAAGGACCTCACTGTTCTCCATCACTGCAATGATGGTTAGTAAGGGGAATTATCCCTTATTTTAGGCTAGTAACTAGTGTTTTTTTTTTAATATCAGACATTACATACTATAATTTACCGGTCCAGGAATCATAGAGGTGATGGATGATCATAGAGGTCCCAAGAATCCGCTTGATTTTTGTGCAGGCAGGAGACCACTTTCAGAAATGGGCAGATGATCATATTACGGCAACTCTATTTCTCCTGAAAGGACTATGTTGGTTATATAAGTTATATACGAATTAGTGTTGAAATCCCGTCTTTAACCATATATTTCGACAATTTTCAGAACCATGAATCACTCTATTCACCTCTGAGGACTGAGATGCAGTGTGGCGAATGGTTAAACTGTTGGCTAATGTTGAGCCATTTTGATGGCAGACAATTAAAGTAAGCAATGTTACAGTGGGTGAAAGATTGGTGCATAATATCGGCCTACTATTGTAGATGGAACTTTGTCAATATTTAAGAGGGGCTGTTTGTTCATAGAACCGCTTCTGTATGTGAGGGAACTAAAATCCAGCCATTGAGCCAAACATTCACAAGCTTTTGTTCACTGGGCTGGGATAGAGCACTCCAAGATTACATTTCTTTAATATGTTTACCTTCCAGTAAAATAGCATCATAGATGTGCTAAATCCATGGCTTTTTCTGCGTGACCCGTGGACGGCTTTCAGCCGAGACGTCCATGGATCCCAGGCTTGAAGTTTAGCAAAAACATATCAAACAGCCCCATGACTGGTCTCCTGATTCATAGATTCATAGATTCAGATAGATTCAGATAGATTCAGTACCTTTTACCAGGGTTGCGAACGGGAAGGATGTTTTATTGTCTATGTTAAATGGACGATATTGGCGAATATATCCGCATATTCTCCCATTTCAGGATCGTAAGACCATATTAAACCATGTTAGACTCCATATTTCATGGTTACATCATGTTTTTCAACCAACGGGAAGGGACTCGAAACCCTTGCTAGCTTTTGAAGCAGCACCTCGACCCCTCGACCCAACGGGCCCAACGGGCCCCGCCCAGATCACCGTGGCGAAGATAGCCCAGATCGAAGTCCCGATCGAATTGCGAGGTTGGAAGAGGCATTGGTTTCACAACAGGAGCTGCTGCTTGGCATCGAAAAACCGGGGGAAAAATGATGATGATTAGATATGATTAGCCTGATTAACCACTGGGTTTACGGGTACCCTTCGATGCCCTCAAGCATGGCTGACCAGGAAATCTCGCGTAAGATTCGATGCAGGGTTTCATTGAAAAATGATCCATTGCCATGTTTGATTACCGGAGGAAATATGTTTTTCTTAAGTTTTTTTTGAAGGTACAAAGCGCCCAAATTCCATGCTTTAAATATATTTGAATATGATGTTTTCATAATATGTTCTTTCCCAATCAATTCTTATTTGATGAGCTTAACCAATTTCTAGACGAACCCATTTATATAGTAAAGAAGTTGTCTCCTTGATGATTACCTTGTTTTTGGCTGGTAGCCTTACTACTATCATTGCATAGAAGTGGCAAGTCAAAGTTAACAACATGTTTTTAAGAAACAACACGATTGGGCACTATGTTGATTGTTAACCTGCTGTCATTCTTAAAGGAACCCCTTGAACTTCCTGCTATGATGATTCACCTATATTCACCTTGTGAGGCTCAAATTGGGAACTAGATACCGGCCTTGACCCTCAAAGTGACGTCACTGGAAGGATGGTTCATGGGGAATCAGCAGAATCATCCCCACATGTCCTTATTTCAGCTATTTTTCAGGTGAGTACACTATTGTATACTGTAGTTCAGCCAGAGTGGTTGAAGGGATTTGAAGGGTCAGTCATTTCAGACTTGCACTGGACATTGTTTTGACATAAGCGGATTCGCGTGTCCCAGTGGATGGTTAGATGTTCTAACCCTCGTCGAATTGGACCAAGGGAAGATGGACAGAGGAACCCGTTGGATTGATGTCCTTTTCCCATTGAAGTTGGTTGATGAAAATCGAGGGGGTTCTGAAGGTTTACCCCTGAAAAACAACCGGTAAATGATGATAGATGGGATTAACCAGCTCCCGGCCCCTCTATTTTTTTTTACCAAAAGGACATTATTGCCTCAAACATCCTCAAACCAATCCATTGAATATACAAACATGTACAGTACATGCATGTAGATAAACATAATGTTGATTGATCAGTGTTTCGTTTTGAATTCCAGTAGCCAGCAGTAACTGTGATGGGAAAAAATGAAGTATCCCAAGAAATTGGGATCAATACGTCCAAATTTGGTTCTCCCAAAATGTGTGCTTAGCATTGTGTCCATATTCGACATAACTTACCCATTGACCAAAATCAACCATCTGAGTTTTCCACCAAACGACATCAGCTCCCATCTTCGCACGCAGAAAGCACTTGCAGCACAGTTTTCCTAGAGTCACAGTGGGTTTCCTGTCGTTGCTCCCTTCAGTTCCCATTTTCACCTCAAAGACGAGCCCCATCTTCACCCACAACGCCCAGGAATCGCAATTTAGAAGAACAAGTCACTCGACTGCTGAGTCGCCCCGGAACAGGCGTGCTCGTGGAAAAACCTCGGTTCGGGTCGCTTCCACATCACTAAGCCCCAAAGTTTTGACTTATCGCAGGCCATTTTGTTCATCTCCGTTTTTTCAGGATCTCTTTGTATTTGTTTCATATCAGTTCCAACACATCCCATCCTACAGGACCCCCCAGCTACATGTTTTACATGTCAAAACCCTCCTCTAAGACTCCTCGATAGATTTCTTTATCATTCTTTATCCATCCGAGTTTAGCTTAAACAAAACCATCCTCAACCTCTCCAAGCATTCCAAACCCAATTTTGGATCATAAATCTGGGCCCAAGTTCTGCGCCAGGCACTTGCCTTCCAGGCTGCCTCCCAGCCAATCTGTTGGGCCGCACGCATGACCTCGGCTAAGCCGAGCGCCGGGCAAAGTCCCCCCAGCGGCCACGGGTCAGGAAATGGAGGACTTTGTGGAGAAACCAGTGGTATAATGGAGATCATATCCGATAATATCATGTAAATGGCTTGAATAGTGATGAATAGTGTGGAGATCATCATTCAAGTGATCTATTTTTTGAAATAATTTGATATAGCAATATACCAAACATGTAGAAACAAATGGAAAAATAGAACCTACCAATGTCTACCATTCTATGCTAGTAGGTTTGGTAAACCCAATGTATAAACCATCCCCAAAATCAGTATAAATGGATTGTATAAACAATCCCCAAATGGTAGGTTGTATATTGTGAATATACTGTATATATATATACATATTTATATATATATATATACATGCTACAGTATCAGATCACCAGTTTTTTGGGCAATGAGTTTAGAAAAGCAGACAATCATCCAGCGCATACGGCATCAGCGCGGAATCTGTGGCACTCTGCGTAAAATCATGCTTAAAAAATCATAACAACCTTCTGTCTCCCAGGTGAACTGGCAACATCCAGCACTAAATCACTGAGTGGTACATAGTTCATACACTTCACCAAGCTTTACTGTATTATGAATCCTCGATGTTGCAAAATTTGGGAAACACGGCAAAGCATCCACAGTGGCACGGTGGCTTAAGCCTCCTACACCAGTAATAACCGCTGGATGCAGCCTATGTCTCTTTTGAAAGACTGGCTCAAGATACACCCGGCACATCCCAGAACTGAGTTGTCTTACTGTATCCATTTAGAAGCTGGCACTTTCTAGGAGCTGCCCTAGCCAAAAAGGTACTCCTTCCCAAAATTCAGAAGAACTTAATATCCATCACCCGGTATAGGCTTCTAATCTACATGTTTCTACATGTTTGTTGATCAAACACCCAGCACTTTGAGATTGCCACGCGGACACCACAGCTGCCTCCCATCTTTTCGATGCCCGTCATCCAAATTTGAAGCTTGAGATGCATGGTACATCACGGTGCCAAGCACCCATCCCTGCCATGGGCTTTCCATGAATTTTGTTTGAAATCACAGTTGTTGGTTTTGGCACTTGGACATGTGTCGAAAAACTGTGGAATTAGTTGTTTGCATTTCCAACCCTAGCAGGGACGATATGGGATGATTCATGAGACTCCATGACTATACCTATTTGTTCAGAGGGAGGAAGCCCAGCAACTGCAGTAAGATGTGCCAGCACCTCTTAGACCGCGCCAGCCGAACAATTGGTACCGTATCAAAAGAACGAAACTCTTTTTCCAACCTGTTTTCTTTGAGGGGCTCGATGTTCACCTTGATGTTTATCCATATCGACCTGAAATGAAAATGGTACAATTCAAATCACGCGACGTTTGACACATCCTGCTTATACTCAACTTATGTTTTATTTGTTGCGTCAAGCAAATGCTGGGCGATTCCCCACGACATGCCTTAATGGTAATAAAATCTTTGAATCTGCTGTAGCTTCAGGCTGTCTCCCTGACCGGCCTATTCCGGCCTGGAAGTATGCCATGCATGAGACAAGGGCCATCAAGGACCAGATCACAATTGGGAGTGACTTTGCAAGCTTCTGAAACGCGGTGTCAGGTTCTGGTCCTTCAATCCCATCTGACTTTTTCTGGAGGAGTGAATGTGCTACAAAGCGCGCATATCGCACTCTACCAATGAGTTTTTTTCAACATGAGCTGAACTTGGCAAGAAAAATGGCAAGCTGTTGCACATGCAGCAGTACTAGCATATTTGCCAATCGTGTTCCGAGAAAAACGATTTACGTGATTGTGATGTGCTAATAAAGAAGGCACATTTGTGTTTCTAAAGCTTGCAGTAGCAACTTCAACATGACTGGCTCAGTGCACCAATGCCATTGTCACAGCCTTGTTCCACGATGTTCTATGCACTTTGCATCATTCACCAGCCTCCTTCAATGATGAGTCCCTGCTAGATCTGGGGATTCAACTCAAGTTAAATAAACCCACGAGTTTCCATGATTTATAGCTCCCATTAAAACAACAAAAAACAACAAAACACCATGTTTTTGAGGCATTTTCATGGGTCTTTCGTTGCGGTCTCAGCTGAAGTTCTCTGCTTCAGATCTTCCGTGGAATGTTTGTCGGACCGAGCGACCGAGGCCTGGAATTGCCTACAGCCACAGCGAGACGAAAGGTATGAGAAGGTGGGGGCCGCTGGAGATCAATCTGGGTCAATTTGATCACCGAAAAAAAAATAATCCAACAATATCCAACAGGGGAATTCCCTTTAAAACCAACAGGTGAATTCCCTTTAAAACCAACAGGGGAATCTACTCAAATGGGATTTTGGTTTGACATTTATAGACCATTGATTTATATTGGGGATCTTCCCCTATAATAATCCAATAGTGAATGGAATGGAATGATAGAGGGCCGAGGGATTTTGAGCACTGCTCATTTTTGATTCACTTACCCTCTGGTAAACGTATACAAAAACCATGGACAATGACAATGTCTAATGGGTAAATCAACTATTTCTAGGCCATGGCTACAATAGTTTTTTGTATGTTTACCAGAGGGTAAATACATGTAAATACTGGGTCAACCGACTGGTTAGATACGAGCTAGTGCTTTACTATTTTGCTATCAATGGTGACATGTACTAACAAGTACTCACTAGTTGTTCCCCACCTGCCAGGTGAGGGTTGTTAGATTTTATGTCAGTTGCCTGGTCCTCCTCCTCGTCCTCGTCCTCCTCATCTCCTCTCCTCCTCCTCGTCGTCCTCCTCGTCCAACTGCGACCCGCGATCCACAGTGTTCTCTGCCGGACCTCAACCACGACCATCCACGCCCAGTGTTCCCTGCCGGACCTCAACCACGACCGTCCACGCCCAGTGTTCCCTGCCGGACCTCAACCGCGAGTATCCACGCCAAGTGTTCCCTGCCGGACCTCATGTAGGAAGATAAGGGACAAAGAATGTGCAGAAGAAAGTTAGGAAGAATGTCAGACAAGTATGCTATATATTACTTGCAAACTAGATATGCCAGAAGATGTGTCAGATAGAATGCCAGATAGAATGCCACAAGGTATGCCAAATAGAATGCCAGATAAAATGTCAGATAGAATGCCACAAAATATGCCAGATAGAATCCCAGAAGATTTGCCAGATAATATGCCAGAAGATATGCCAGATAGAATGCCAGATAGAATGCCAGATAATATGCCAGAAGATATGCCAGATAGTATGCCAGATAGAATGCCAGATAGAATGCCAGAAGATTTGCCAGATAGAATGCCAGAAGATATGCCAGAAGATATGTCAGATAGAATGCCAGAAGATATGCCAGATAGAATGTCAGAAGATTTGCCAGATAGAATGCCAGAAGATATGCCAGAACATATGCCAGATAGAACGTCAGAAGATTTGCCAGAACATATGCCAGATAGAATGTCAGAAGATTTGCCAGATAGAATGCCAGAAGATATGCCAGAACATATGCCAGATAGAGTGCCAGATAGAATGTCAGAAGATATGTCAGATAGAATGCCAGAAGATTTGCCAGTAAGAAAGTGTATAATGTCATGGTGGGGATCACACGAAGTAAAGTAATTGTTTTTTCTTTTTTTTTTGTGGCAATCCGAATGCCTGCCATAAACCATCCCCAAGTCATCATAATTTTGATGGGTGGGATTTAAACCATCCCCAAATGGTAGGTTTATTATTCGGTTGCCCACACTAGAAGGAATCATATTGCCTGTGATATTGGGGATTCTGATGATCCATAATAGGGAAACCTATGAACAAACTAGTATAATGCTATGATGATATGGGATGGGGGGTATGTTTAGTGGCTCATAGGTGTTCACAAATGTTCGCAAGACATCAGTGTGTTATGCCGTTATTCTAAGGTTTGGGTGGCAAAATCAATCACCTGAAATTGCGATAATGTTGGATCCTGGCACATTGATATACATATTATATTTATATGATCTATCCATCCATCCATCCATCCATCCATCCATCTCTACCCATCCATTCATCTATCTAAGATACTATCTAAAGTTATCCATCCACAATCCATCTATCTATTTGCAAATAGAAATTTACCAATGGTCAATCTCTTCAAATGGATATTTCTCACAAGTTCCCAGGAAAACCTGTCAAACTTATGCGTTTTGAAACCTCTGTGGTACAGAAAACGTTCCAACAATTGACAAGAACGACTCGCTTCAATATAGTATATCGATGTTGGGATACACCTAATATATGAATACACATATGGAGGTGTCCAATCCATGGGGGCAACCCCAAATCATCCAAGTCATTCGCTTATACTTTTAGTATTGAAACAACTATGGTGACTTGGGGATCCCTCGTTTTACGAACTTCCCCAGATACATATCTCTATACCCCACAAAAAAGATGCCCCAAGCATAGTGAACATGGACCCCAACCCCCTCGGACCCTCTGATAGGACTGTTTCAAGCCTGGAAGGTGGCAAGCGTTCCGCAGGGGAACACAGGGACCTTGGACACTGGGTGAATGGTGAATGTGCTGTACCATGTTGGGCCCCAAAGAAATATATAGAACTATGGCGAACTATGGGTATGGTCAAAATTGGGGATCCCAAAAATTAGATGGTTAATCTTAAACATATACTAATATCTGTTGTCCCATAGGGCTTAAATCTTGATCCATACTCCTATGTATATATACTACTACGACTACTACTACTACTGCTACTACTACTACTGCTACTACTACCACCACCACTACTACTAGAGCATCCAGCTGACACAGCATTTGAGCTTCCTTGTGGAACTAAATGTGTTTAACATATTTAAAGGAGAGAGGGATGTTTTGATGGGTTTGGGGTCTAGTGGGGATGCTTGCTGTTGTGACAGGTAGAGCCGAGGCAGATTTACAAATGCACACTTGATTTACAAATATATACACATGAAATAATATATCAATCAAATTAGGTGTTTGTTTTAATATGCATAAATATATTGGTATCACTACCTTAACATACATCTAAGTGTAAGTACAGTATATACCCCCATGTTCCCCCCGTTTTTTGGGCGCCTGCGGGCGGCTTCGTTGCCGAGGTTAAGTGCACCTTCGGTTGTGCCGAACGCTTCGTGGCCAGCAAACAGACCAGCAGCCCTTGGGGCGACATGTGGGGCCGGCCCAGCGGGCCCGAGGGGGATGTTGGGTCAAGCCCAACGCCATTGGAGATATCAGGAATATCATAGTGGAAAATGGAGGGGACTATCATGGGAAAATCCCAATGATGTTATACGATGTTATAATAAGGTTTGGATTGGTCGAAGTGATGATGTTGTAAGTAGAAAACATAGTAGTTTTCACATGTTTTTTTTTCCAGGACTGCTTGTTGAACAACCAGAGGATTTTGAAGTTAGAACGCTATGCAGAGTCACCTGGAAAGGATATCATTTGATTTGATTTTGCTGCTTCCACTGGTGCTGTACTTGCCAGGAGGCTGTATCAGACCCTTCCAAAGTCAGGTTGTTCCCTTTGGGGGTACAGATCTTGGTACAGCTACTTGTTCTTCGGTTGATGAATTTATATGTTTCGTTTTGGATCGGGCTAAAAAAAAGGTAGGAGACTTAGCGAAAGTGAAGCATTTGGGATCTAGAAATGGCATCTATGGTTATAACATAAATAGCCTCTATGGTTAGTGAACCATTTTACCCATCGAGGATTTGACATGGCCAATGCTGGGTAGTCATTCCAGCCTCGAGATCAAGCAGCACAGTCGCATCTATTTTTCGGGGGAAAATCCTGGGACTATTGAAAATGACCATAGAAATAGTGGATTTTCCCATGAACAATGGCCATTTTCAATAGCTATGTTAGTCATTACCAGAGGGTATAAATGGGGGGATTTTTGATATATTTTATCCATTGCCACAGTTGATTACCGGTGCTGCTGGCGAAATCCAATATGTGCGAAACATGAAGGTGTTTTCAGCAGCAGCTCCATACAGATTCTGGTTGAGCACGGAGCAGAACTTTAGTGGGTACCCTCTGGTAATTTAACATGGCTATTGAAAATGGTCCTTTATAGTTGACTTACCTATTGAACATGATGGTTTTCCCTAGCTATGTTAGTTTACCAGAGGGTAATGAGGTTGGATTTGATGGGTGTTCAACCTATCAATGTTCATTTCTGTGGTGGCAATAATGGGCACTAGGTGGGAATGAGGTATATATAATGCTAACCCCTCACTAACAATTGCTGAATTAGGACATCACACCCCAGTTAATAAATAAGATGATAGATAAGAACACATTGATCAATATATACATGGAGATATACTTTAAAAACCAGTTCAATATATATATATATATAAATAAATAACTAAATAAATAAATAAATAAATAATATTGTACAGGCATTTGTGTCATTAGCCCAGAATGATTTCAATACCCCCGGTGCTTTTTCCGAGGTACTACGCTCATTCCAAGCTCCTTGACTCGGAGGCGCCTGCCGGGAGAAATCCAGGTGCCTCCAATCGCTATGGTGATAAAAACTACAGTTAATGGGGTTTAAGTAATCTACAGTTACTGATAACTATAGTTAATGGTGACAATAACCTACAGTTATAGGTTGTGCTTATAAGTATAGTTAATGGTGATAAAACCTACAATTAATGGGGTTAAGTAACTGGTTGTTTGATAGTCACTGGGCTTTACACACCAACAAACATAACTGGAGGGCCCCCACATTGAAGTTTCATATGTTTCATGAAATTTTGGATGTGTTGTTTTGCGTTTGTTGCGGTGTTGGGAATTGATTTGTCCATTGTGGCATATTGTGGCACTTTTTTCCCCCGAAGCCAACAGGGGTTTGTAAATGTCCTATGTTTTCATACCACCCCACTGTTGGGGATATTATCTCCAATAAATAGTTGTGAAAATTGGATGTTTGGTTCCACATTTCCATCAGTGGTTCACCAATCAATAAAGCAACATATCCAATACTTCAACTGGTTGGTGGTTTGGAACATGTATTTTATTTTTCCATTCAGTTGGGAATTTCATCATCCCAACTGACGCATTCATATTTTTCAGAGGGTAGGTATACCACCAACAAGTCCAGTTGTGGATCGCCTTGGGATCGCCGAGACAGTATCGCCCTGGTGGACTGGAAACTTACCGTATGTTTAATGGGTACATGAACAATAAATGGACCATAACTTCCAGTTCGCGAACTCGGAGTTTAGATAAGTCTGTGATTGGGAAGTGATCAAGAGACACTCAAATACCTGGTTGGTGGTTTGCAACAGCCACGGGCTCAACACCTCCCAGCGGGTGTGGCTGGGCTGGCAAAGCGTTGAGCGTTTTGTTCCCCAGGTCTAGCCATGGATCCGTTCATGGATATCGGTGCCACTGACAGTGGTGGGTTTGTCTCCGTGGTGGTGGATGTCGAGGTGCTGGATCCTCTCTATGAGAGGCACATGGTGCGGATCCTTCCCTCAGGTACGCATGCTTATGTGCGTGGCCTGGTGGAAGGGATGTCTGCTCGACTGACGCTGATTGAAGCCGTGGTGGTCAAACGGTTCCCGATCCCCGAGATTGAAATTGGACCGAATACGGAGGTGATGTACCATACACGTCACTCTGGGGCTGATGTCTTCAAGCTTGTGGATGCATGCTCTGAGCTTGGAGTTGTCTCGCATGGAGCTTTGTCTGTTGGTCTGCACACATTGATGTCGGTGGATAGCCATGGGAGGATGTCCAATTTGCATAAGGTTCCTTCAAGTTGTGAGACGGTGACTGGAGATGATGGTCATCCCCAGGTCATTCATGAATTGTGGCGCCAGTCTGATCATGCAGCCATGGTGTGTGATGGATATGTGTGCAAGCCATACTCCCAGCGTGGTGATAGACGGGGAGCCATGGATCCTCGTGCACAGTGCCTGCACAGTGTCTGGCAAGCAGCATTGTTGTTCCAGGTTTGTGGTGTGGTGCTTGCATGGGTTGCTCCTGCACGTTGTGATCACGTTGTGGCTCAACAACTGGAACGGTTTGCTCAGATTGGTGGTTTCTGCATTGAGGCAGTCAACATTGATCTGCATACTGTGTGGACTTGCTGCAGACACAGAGCGTGGTGGGTGTTGGATGACTCCTGCTCGGACAAAATTGGCTTAGCTGCATGGTTGCCTATGGGAGGATGGCCGTGGACTCAATGGCTTATCCCTTACACTTGTAGGTGGGACCCGAGTGATGAGCCTGCTCGTCAGCGGGACCAACGTGAATGCCAGGCGTTTGGAGTGGAGGATGGCACATATTCCAAGCACATGATGACAGCCAATGGTATTGGCCCCACTGCTTTGCATGAGGGGAAGTTCCAGGATGACAGTGCTCACCAGACCCAACAGGTGTCGAACTTACTGTCTCGGATCCAGACACAGTCCCAGCAGTTACATGGCCGGATTGAATCCCAGAACCAGAGTAACCAGGCCATGTTTGAAAACCAGCTGTCGCATATCCGTGGTCTTTTGTCCAAACGGCCACGGGGGGTTGGTGAGTGATGGTATGGGCAGGGGTCCGACGCACCCAAGTGCACGTGTGTCGTGCGATGCTTTGGCAGCTTGTTGGTCGGGACCCTGATGCCCGTTTTACAGTTTTGTTTCATGGGGTATGCAGCCACAGTGAAGCATGTGCGAGTATCCTGCCCTAAGCCAGGGCCTAGGGGGTGCTGCTGCTTGTTTTCGGTGTGTTTCGGGTTCGGGGGGCCTCTTCCCCCGGCCCTGCTGCTGATGATGACTCTTTTGTTTTGGGGATTGCCAACCCACATGGGTTGCGTGGTCCAGCTCCTTTCTGTTGCCAGACTATGGAGAGGGACTGGTTACCGGTGCCGCAATTGGTAGGTGTCCACAGCCAATGCGCTGGTTTCGATGACTAAACCAGCGTGCAGAGCAAAGAGGTACAAAGTGGTGGTTTGCAACATGAAATTTATTTTTCCATATATTTGGAATGTCATCATCCCAACTGACGAACTCCATCATTTTTGGGACGGGTGGCTCAACCACCAACCAGAATACGATTTGCCACTCACTTTCCCTTCAAAACGACGGGTGGTCATCCCAGATCCATTCGCTCAATGTGATCAATGTGCCAGGATTACATGTCAATGAACCGCACCTGTGGCTTTGGTGGAGGTGCCATGCCCCAAAGCCATCACCCAAGATGTCAGGAGAATCATCCAACATTTCAGGGTGGGCTACTCCAATTCAGCCAGATGTGCAGTTTTTGTTTGATTTTTTGGTTGGATCCCTACCCCCTTGGCTTGCCGAAAACCAGGGGGACCCCAAAAATGTAAGATACAATAATTCTTTTTGACCCCCCACCCTCCATATAGCTATCATACAAGGTGAAGGGGGGGGGCAAACAAATATAACATGTACCTCCCGCCTGCATGTTACATTTGTTTAGCCCCCCCCTTCCATACGAAGAAACCATACGTAATCTATACGTAAGGGGGGGGGACCCCCCCCAACAAGCATATGTTACAGGGGCCCAAGAAAATGTAACATAGACGTGGGGAGGTATATGTTACATTTTTTAATGTTTTTACATATATGTTAATACATGGTTATTTCTTGTTGTTCATTGTTTATGTGTTTGTGTTTTTTATTTAGGCAGACCTTAGGCAGACCTGAAGATACATGAAAACATCGACAATGCTGATGATATCCAAAAGGCTCCAAGTCCTAAGTTACTTACGCCTCGAGAAATTTCACGCTCGATGAGATGTGTGCGCACTTAGGTAAAATGAAACATGCAGGGACTAGGGTAAGAAACTACTGTATTTTGCGAGGTTTGGGAGCCCTCCCAGTGCCATATTACATTTTTGATCTGTGGATCCCTGCGATTTGCACTGCTTGTGCGCGTACGTAAAATGTAACATGCAGGGGCTAGGGTAGGGAACTACTGTGTTTTGCAGGGTTTGGGAGCCCTCCCAGTGCCATGTTACATTTTCGACCTGTTGATCCCTGCGATTTGTGATGCGCGATGATGCGCATGCGCGTATGTAAAATGTATTATGCAGGGGCTAGGGTAGGGAATTACTGTGTTTTTGCAGGGTTTGGGAGACCTCCTATGGCCATGTTACATTTTGGACCTGTTGATCCCTGCGATTTGCGATGCTTGTGCACGTATGTAAAATGTATTATGCAGGGGCTAGGGTAGGGAATTACTGTGTTTTTGCAAGCTTGGGGAGCCCTCCCATGGCCATGTTACATTTTCGACCTGTTGATCCCTGCGATTTGCGATGCGCGATGATGCGTATGCGCGTATGTAAAATGTAACATGCAGGGGCTAGGGTAGGGAATTACTGTGTTTTTGCAGCGTTTGGGGGCCCTCCCATGGCCATGTTACATTTTCGACCTATCAATCCCAAAGACCCTAAGATTTGCGATGCGTGTGCGCATATGTAAAATGATGTAAAATGTAACATGCAGGGGCTAGGGTAGGCAAGTACTGTGGTTTTTGCAGGGTTTGGGAGCCCTCCCAGTGCCATGTTACATTTTGGACCTATTAATCCCTAAGTTTTGAAAATCTAAGATGCAGGGCCCGGGGTAGGAAAACTTAGTGTTTTGCATTACTCAAAGTGGGGCGTCTGGGCATTCATGGGCATTCGTAATTCAAAGGCTGCCTTGAAAGGCCTTGAAAAAAATGGGATTGGAAATGAGTGGAAATATTTTCAGAAATTTGGATGTTATCAGAAACCCCACGTTACTTTCCAGTAGGAATGCATGTTGCACGCGCGGATGAGCTCTTGGCACAAAGGAGGGAAAAAAAGGCTTTACGTATCTTTACGTACTTGAGACCTCAACTGGACATGTTACATGTAAAAAATGTAACATGTTTCTTTAGGTATGTTGAATGTATGTTGATCTGTCTTGGAGGCTATAAAGACCTAAAAATGTAACGTTACATTTTTACGTCTCTTATTACGTCTCTTAGATCTATATGGGGTTACATATGGTAGTTTACGTACTTAAGATGTGGAAAATGCAGAATTTCCAAAACCTGCATTTTGAGCATATGGAAAATGTATGTTACATTTTCCAGGTCCCCCCCGTCTAAGGTAGTAGGGATTTGGTTGGTTTATTGGGTGGAAGACCCCAAAAAAACATCCATTTGCCACCCATTTTTCGTGGGAATTGCGTATGAAATTGTGGTCCAATAATGTTAAATACACCTTTGAATGATTTGAATGCAAAGTTGGAACTTAAAAATGAATTCAGACACTTCTGATACAGTATGTACATACATATCCAGATACACCTAAATAGTGTACATACAGTACTTCTGGATATGATCTGGATATGATCCGTGTGTGCACCTTATACATATCCAGATCATATCCAGGTCATTCCAGGTCATGATTTCTTCTCAGCAGTGGAGCACAGGCAACCGCACGGATTTCTCGAACATCTTCAAAGGTGCCAGCAAATGTGCTGTGGCTCCGGCCCCATTCTTTGGTTCAATATGGTTCGACATGGTTTAACTGTCATTGATGTTTATCGATTTTCATTGATTTTCATGTTTGGTCATATCTTTTCAAGAAATGAGCCACACAAACAGTTTGGTGCTTCATAGTGTAATCTTCTTGTAGACAAAGGCTTCATTAATTGAATTTAACCGTACACATTGTTGTATCGCTTTATGATGATCAATATAGCTTGTGGCTATAACTTTGATTGATCATGCTTTGATGAATGGCTGGGTGCCGTGGTGATGCCCAGTGAAATGTTTGTTGCTTTAGTTTAACATTGTTTAACTCCGTGATATATATATATATAGATGAAATTAGATAAATAACACTATATATACATTAACATATATATATATATATGTATATTATAATTATTGTTTATAACTCGTAGTTAAGCTACTGAGCGAAACATTTTTTGCGATTCCTAAGCATCACCAGCTTTTTTTTGTTCGGCCAAGCAGATCACCGCGACCAGGTCACAAGAACGAAGTATCTCCGGTGACCTATAGGCGCGAATGTCTGGAGACGACGCGGCTTAGGCGTTGAGGAGACACCTACAACGGCCAGAGTTTTTTTCACTTCGGAAAACATCATGCCACACAACAAAATACAAATGTAATGTAATGTAATGTGTAATGTAATATAATGTAATGTAATGTGTACTGTAATGTATTGTGATGTAATGTGTAATGTGCAATGTGCAATGTGTAATGTGCAATGTGCAATGTGCAATGTGCAATGTGCAATGTGTAATGTGTAATGTGTAATGTAAAGTAATGCATGAATGTATGTATGTGTATATGTATATATATATATATCTGTGTGTGTACCCGTGACTGCACTCTCGGAGAGGGCGATGGGGAGAGAGAGAGAGAGAGAGAGACACACAAAGAGAGAAATAAAAAAAAATAGAAAAATAAAAAAAGAAAGAAAGAAATAAAAAAATAAAGAAAGCAAGGAAGGAAGGAAAGAAGGAAGGAAGGAAAGAAAGAAAGAAAGAAATATATACATTTCGAGAGGGAGAGAGAGAGAGAGATATACATATATATACTTAAATGATCATACATATATGTATATTGCAATAAGCATGGCCGCTTGACCGCGTGGGCAAAGCCTACACCGCGTAATTCTAGGCTTGCGTACGCACCCCGTACTCGCGTAGGCTACCTCATGCAATGGTGCAGGCTCGGCCTAGGCGTTTGCGTAGGTTATAATATATTTATATATATATACATATGTATATATATATATATATCTGTGTGTATATACATATATATATATACTTCTCACCGAAAGACAAGGATAAGAAACTCTGTTCAATGTGTTAGAAACTCTGCTTAATGTGTGGTTTACTGATGTGTTTTTTAATGTGCACCTTTAAGTGGGCCGATGGGACGTCGCTTTATGGTTGTTATTGCTCGAGTCCTGACAACAAACGACAAACCCAGATGATTTTACTGCAGCAACCCCCAAATAGACAAGCAGATAAATTATGTGTCTATGATTCTTTTACTTGTTGGTTACTATATTCCCTGCAATATCTTGTGGGTCGCCGATGCCCTGAAAGGATCCGGTAATCCAACCTGGAACCTACTGTGGATGGTTGCGAAATCCTGCACCACCAAAAGGATGGTTGAAACCCTATAAATAATGAAATCATGGGAAAAACTAACAGTCAACTGCTGCAGGAGTTCGCAACCATCCACAGTATCAAGCTCTCTACAAAGAACACGCCCAAAGAAGTGCTCACGAATCTTCCTGCTCAACCAGGCCTGTGGCAAGCACAGCCAAGAAGACGTGACCGGCTCAGACCGAAGGATGGGATCCGAAGGAGGAAAGGGATCTCCGGGTCAGCAGTTGGATTTATGATGAAGGTTACTCCATAGTCTATGTGTGTTTATGTTATGTTTATGTCATTTATTAAATTTGTTTATCAACTTCTGAGTGGCACCCCCCATGATACCAGTTTTTACAAGCCTGAACAAGTAACAAGTCCCTGTGGGTAGCTGTAACTCTTTTGCATGCCATTTTCTGGATTGTTAATCCCTGGGCCCTGTAAAATGCTGTTCCGGATTTATCCCTGTCTTCAATCGTGTTCATTGGTTTATTGCCCTTAACATGGAAATAAACTGGTTGGTGGTTTGGAACATGAATTTGATGACTTCCCATATATGGGGAATGTCATCATCCCAGCTGACGAACTCATATTTTTCAGAGGGGTGGCTCAACCACCAACCAGATATTCTGGTAAATCCGGTCAAACTCCGTTTTATCGGTTAATCCCCTGGACAACCCCCTGACAAAAATCACCAAAAAGTGGTAAACCCAATAGTAAATTCATCCCCAAAATAGTACCATTGTTGGGTGGGGGTTCATCCATCCCCAAACAGAGTCGTTTGTGGCATTGGGTGTGCCACATTATAGAATCGCAATAAGATCCTATAATAGCCTAGATATAGAATCCCAAGCCCTATAGAAACCCCATTAGATAGCATAGGAAGCCCAATAAATTCCTATAGAATCCTTTTGCCCGCCATAGAACCCCCATTAAACCCTGTAGAAATCCCAATAAAATCCTGTATAAATCCCACTAGAATCTTATAGAGTCCCAGCAACCCCCATAGATTCCCATAGAAATCACATTGGTCATTGGTCCCCATAGAATTTTAAATGAAATCCTATAGATCCTACAGAAAGGTCAGCTTTTGATGGCCTGGTGGAACGACTCGAGTCGGGAACCAGTGGATACCAGTGGCAGTGGGAAGATTTGGTTGATCTGATATGGAATTATGTGGGGGTCCAATGGATTTCATAGGATTATGTGCTAGTCATGTAGTGTTTTTTTTCATGAAAAAAGGGGGCTCGTGGGACAAATTGGAATTGAATGGATGGTGGGGATGAATGAACAAGAATAGATGTACGTGACACAACGTGTTGTCCCCAGTCCCCAGCTATGCTTGTTGGAGTGTACCCCCACTAACTTGCCATGAACCATAGATATATTTGCCATAAACCCTAGATAATCTACTTTGGTGTTGTTCATGAGAATCCATACATACACATGTGGGTCCATGTATGTACATGCCGGTGCTTTTGTGCATCTGATGTGTATTCGGTTTATTGTGAACAGCTGAGACGGTCTCCGCGGAATCATCTTTGGACATTGAATGTGGGGCTTCACGTGCTGCCACCAAGAGGGTGCCAGCAGTGGGCTAGAGACCTACAAAAGCCCACTGCTATCTATTTTGTGGTTGCTTCATAATGTTGTAGATGGCGAGGTTCCAAGATTGTCAAAAGAACCAGGGTAAGAACAAGTATTCTTGAACATTGAACATGGAAATGTGCATTCCTAAACAAAATGGAGATGTCTGTGTCACCGCCCTGTCTTGGCTGGAAGCAGGGACGTGATTGGCTCGTATGTAGGTTGTAAGGTTGGAGGGTTCCCTTTGCTATCCTTTGCTAGAGCCCACTGAAAAGTCCATTGGAAATAATAGTAGGAAACAACTAAAGTTCTTATCAGAAATGAATCCTCAAAGATCCTACTATGTTCACCTATTTTACTTTCCTGATTGATTCAACCTGCGAGAGCACGAACGTCCCCCTAATTTCAACAGATGCAGTTGATTGGTGGCCGACCGAAACATCACCTTTCAATGACTTCAGATAATGTTGATATAACATTCATACACCATTTATACAACAATAAACACATGTAAACATTGATTTTCCACTCAACCCCTTGGTTTTTTTCGCTTTTTTTCGCCGTTCAGCGCCGAACCGCCTCCCCGTAACGCCCCATGCAGCGCGCCATGGCGCCGTAACGCCCGTAACGGAGCGGTGGAGCTGCTATGGGATCGGAGTATTTGGTCAACATCTCAGTCCCTTGGATCGAAATCGCCAAGGAGTCGCCAAGGACCGGGACCAGATTTCTGGATGGCCCGGGACCTGTTTTTTTTGGAAGCCTTATGTATATGTAAATGTATATATTTTTATATATATACAATTACTGTATATGCTATATTTACATATATATATATAGATTACATGGGATTACAGTAAATATGTATATACAGTAATATAACGATATAGTTACGTTTGTATCTTTGTGCGACTGTGATTCCGTGAAATTCATGTCTAGCAGGCCGCAGGTTTATACTGTAGTTCGGTCGTATTTGTTGATCCATATGAAATTTGGCAACATGACATGGGGCAAGCAATAAATTGACCCATATGCAAATGCAATTAAATGTGCAATTCCTTTTTGAGTGCATGGAGAAAGTTGATGTCAACTGATTTTTTTGCTTGGACGAAACTGCGTGGGATGTGATTTCAAGTTGGATGTGTCCGGCATGGGTGGAGATACGGCAAATCAACGGACGATAAATCAGACCCTGAAACCACGGGTCACGTTTTGATACCCTCTGGTAAACTAACATAACTATGGAAAATCACCATGTTTAATGGGAAAATCCACTATAAATTGCAATTTTCAATAGCAAACTGTTAGTTTACCAGAGGGTATATTTTCGAATATGTCTGCATTGTTTTACTAAAATATGGTAGAATCTATGGGGTAAACCATCCCCAAATATCCAAGAAATAAGCACTAAAAACCATCCGATTTTGCTAGTCCTGGTTTGAAATCGAGAGATGGCCAAGACTTCAAGACCCAAATCAACTGGGAAGTGTCTCAAGTGTCTCACGTCATCAGGACAGTCATTGGATTGATGCAGAAAAAAGGAAAGCATATCATAGATATGTTCTCATAAACTATATAAACTTGGCCATGAAAATAGCCTTCTGGAATTGATTGGTTGAGCATGGTTTAGCAGAGAATTGGCAGGAATCTCCTCATAATTTGGATGGGAAAACCAAGGTCTCTCTTGTAGCTTGTCCCTTCAAACCCACCAGCTGACAGACTTGAAATGAGGTTTATGCCGTGGCCGGTGCCGTGGTGAAAATTTTAGAGCGCCCGAGGATGTAAACGATGTGAACCGCCACAATGATCCATGATTGAGTCACCATGTGGTGGTTGCTTAAGTCATGGGGGATCCCCTTAGTCGTCACCATTGGCGTTTCACCATATCTTTTGTCATGGTCATCTACAGTATTGGTGCATGACGACTGGATGATTTTGGAGTATCCTCACTTAGGACACCCCCATTTGGCAATTTATATACAATTTATATATTATATACCATTACATACCATGATATTAGTCACTAAATAGGCACCATCACCATTGTATCCCCATTCATATATTCATTATTGATTGATCGTGTTACTACTGCATTGCTATTGCGATATTGGATGATGTGATGATGGACTCATCCATGTTCAACAAAGATTGGTCCGCTTTGTCAGGCTGAAGGCCTTTAAAAAAATGTGGGGAATCAGTGTCTATATATGGCTGTTGACTGAAAATATTGGGAAAGCTCCTGAAACCCATTGGTTCATCATGTGATAATCATTGTCAATATGTCATATATGTGTCAATCAATGTGAAAATCATGGTTTTTTCCTTATTGGAATTGCCCTTTGGGGGTAGGGGGCCATTTTCAGACACAGCCATGTTATTCTTCAAAGTCTTTTTATACATTATATATATAATATGATAATGTATGTGATTAAACTATCAACCATATATGAATGTATATATATATATGATTCTATAATGGATACCTCTATATATATATATATATATATTTGAGAACATATATTCTGGAGAAGGCATGCAAGAGCTCCCGCTTTGCATATACTGCTGTGAGACATTCTGAAAGTAGCTGCTCACTATGGATTGAATAATTAGCAGAGCTGTCCATGCAACAAGCCCGTAAAAAATGCCCACTTACGAGATCAAGCAGACCTGTTTCTATTTTGAAGATGCTGGTATTCGTTGCTACTTCGCTGCACCCGGAGATTCAACATGAAACCATGTGAAACCCATTCTGAAAGTCCTTTTCCAAACATGCTACTTTAAAGTTAGAAGTTTTAGAGTGCTTCCATGCCGAATGTCCCGCATCCGGTTCCTCACCATTTTGACCTTGGCGTGCCGTTGCTTTTCAACTCAAGATAAAGCCATTGAACCGCCTAGGATGAAACCCTTTCATCCATCCATACTTTGCAAACGATTGGCATGCTTGCTGCTTGCCACCTGGTGGGGAGCTCTTAGTTCCAAGACATTCGATGATGGAAATGCTGTTGCGGAAACAGTGGAGACACTGTTTCTGCAAGTTGCCCTGGAGACGAGGGAGGTGACGGACGCCCTGGTGAGGGAGCCGAGGGAGAAGCTGAATATGACCCAGGAGGACCTTCAGGAGGTGGTGTTTATGCATATTCCTTACAACTTTGGCCATACCATTGAGAAGGTGGCCTTCCTTCCAGAATTTCCAGAGTCCCAGGCCGGGATGGCGAAATGGCGAACCTCAGGACGAAAAAAGATCCCCCCTTCCAGAATCAATTGTTACTATAGATCTGGAGATCCCAGTTAAAGGCCAAGAGCATTGAAGATATTGAAGTTAGCCCAGATTTTGTTTTTTCCTGGAGAATTTCTATGGATTTCAAAGGATTTCTAAGGATTTTCTGGGGAATGGCATGTGTTGTTGCTGAGATTCCCATGTTGCATCACGCTTCTTACCCTGGGTCTGCCAGGGTCCCCTGCGCAACTTGGCCTGGGACGAAGCCATGGCGATCGTCGAAAACGACATGCTCACAGTGCCCCAGTTGCACATTTAAACATCAAAACTATGGAAAATTGCCATTGATAGGTGATTTACCAATCAAAAATAGTTAAACATGGCCAGTTAAAGTTGATTTACCCATGGAAAGTGGTGATTTTCCATTAAAATCTATATAAGTGGGATATATCGTTGATATAGCTGTGAGGTTTGTGAAGGGTTTTAAGGGTTTAACACAATCATAATACAAGCAGCTTTTCTAACTTGATTAATTAACTAGGGTCTGTATAGGATATAACGATAGTTAAGGATTATAAACCAACTGATAAGTATAGTATAGGGGCCTTCCTGTAGGAAACCTCTATTCAGATGGGATGGATCGGTTCCAGGGAAGGCCTGATTTTTCACGTCTGGAAGGACCGATGCCAGCAAAATTGGGGATACACCATCATTGACCAGCAAAAATTGGTACCCTCTGGTAACATAATTATGGAAAATCACCATTGTTTATGGGTAAATCAACTATTTCTATGGCAATTTTCAATAGCTATTTTGACATAACCAGAGGGTAGTATGAACTTCTCAATCCAAAAAGGGCCAGAGGGCGATGTCATAATACGGTCCTAAGGGACCGACCCCACAAAGCAATCTGTCGCCCATGAATATCTTCGCCAAAACATGGGACTTGTTCCACATCAGTCATACGCAGCACTTTTTTGTATAGAATATCGGAATTTGAACCATTGACTTTTAAGAAGTTAGGGAACTCCCATTTCTGTTCAGCGCTTAGTGATTTGAAGCTCAGCGTTCGGAAAACTTGAAACCTATTGAAACCCTCAAGAGGCGATCATCCATTGAATTCAATTGACATGCCAGTTCTTACCCTAAAATTTGATACTATTCTTGTGTGACTAAGATAATGAATGCAAATGACACGTAGCTTTCTTGGGACTGTTTGCAAGTTGAAAGGGAACAACCAGGTGACCGGACGCAATCCTGATCCTCACAGCCTGCGTTGGATCACAGATTATCTTCCAGCCCAGCTTAGTATTTCCCAAAAAAGATTGGCAACATGTGGCATGGTTGGCTCAGCTTTGGCTACGTTGAATCTCCATTGGGGGTTTGGTATTTTTCCATTTAGCCTTCCCGTTTTGGTTCTCTCCCCCCCCTGCTGTCCTTTCTCTCCCAGTTTGGTATTTCCCTTCCCATCAGGGTGTTCCCAACAATTGTTATTTTCTCTTCCCATCAGGTTTTTGCCTTCCCAGAAAGCTTTTCCCCTCCCATTTTTCTGCGTTCGGTTTTCTCGGTTTCCGGTGTCAGCAACAACCACAGCAACAACAACAGCAGCAACAACATTGTTTTGATTTTAGTGCCTGTCCTGTTGGAGGCAACCTGCTGCGCCAACGTCTATGGAGGAGACTTCAACCAGTTCGGTTGATTGATTCCTATGTCAATGTGTCCACACCTCTCACAATCTCTCACATATATCCACGCACGTCCCCCCAGAACTCCACCATTTACACTCACAGCCACCCACATCTCTGCAACAATTTTTGCGTTAACAACTAGGGGTCTCTATCGACTGCCTTCCATGAGCATTGGATATACGCAATCTCCACCACAGAATGCCAAAGCATGACAGGAGCAACGCCTCCCCAATGCGTTTTTCAAAGCTTTTTGCTCTTCTTCTTGTTCTTCTTGTTGTTGTTGCTGTTGTTGCTGTTGCTGCTGGTTGTGTTTGCGGTTGTGGATGGCGATGTTGTTGCTGTTGCTTTCCTTTTCGTGCAGCATTCAACAAACTTCAGCGGGAATGCAAAACACCGAAACCCAAACCCTTCGGGGAAGGGAAAACCACCAAAACGGGAAGGGAAAAGACCAATTTTGGAACCCCCAGGCCCCCAGAACCAGCCCCTTGGGAAGAAAAAATCTATGGAAAGGAAACACTGATGGGAAAATACGACCCGTGAGAAGGGAAAGTAGACCCTCCATTGGACTGAGCCAGATGATCCTCCATGAGCGTTTGTTTGTCTGACAATACCCCAAATTCTGATGATTATTCATCACTTTCCCATATAATTATTCCCATTAGAAAAATCATTGTTTGGGTATACCCCATTACATCAGGGGTTTAATCACCCTAAACATACCATCATGATGCCACGCTTCAGTGGTCGGAAATCACCAGCGGCATCTGAGGTGGATGAGAGACTTGCAATGCTGCAGAGTCCTGTCTAAATCGTTGGTTGGAGCCTTTAAATGTGCAGTTGTTCAATCATACTTTGGATGATTGGTTCATGGTTGATATGTTGGTTGATGTGGGGATGATCGGTTGATGTCTTGGTTACTGATGATTGGTTGATATGTCTAATATTTGGGCGATAGGTTTAAGCCGCGAAGCAGGTTGAGTGAGGTTGAGTGCGCCCACTCGTTCAAAGAGAATTGCCTGGCCCAAATGTTGTTGATGAAGGATTTAGCCAGCTCACTCAAGTGTCAAATATGTCAGGGACCCAACCCAGAAGAACTTGACACGTGATCACACCCGGGCTTTGATTGGTGGATATCCACACTTGGATCCTAGAATCACTATTTTAGCAACCATCAGCAACCCAAAAAATATGTGCCGAAAAGTGGGACACTTGGAAATATATGTGGTGTACATATAGTATCATATAGTATCATATAGTATCCTATAGTATCATATAGTATCCTGTAGTATCATATAGTATCTATATAAATGTCCCATCCTGATTTCCACACATTGCCGGAGTTCCTAGCGCCATCCCTGCCCCAGGACCAAGATGGGTGTTGGCGGCCGCATCTGGGGACGGATGAATCCTGCTCTGCATCAGATCTCCAGCGTCACGGGCTGTCCCTTGTACTTCACCCCAGGTGCCTCTGGCCACAAAGCTCGATGACAGGTTGGAAACACTTTTCGGCGCCATTTTTTTGGGGGGTTGCTATATGGTGCTTCATCAGGATCCTCATCTTTTAGCCCCAACCTAGGGAGGTGGTCGATGATGACACCACAGCCTGAACCCGCATTTATATAACCGTTGGTAGTTTAAACCCCCATCTACTGGGGATCTTAACAAGAGTATTGGTTGCTTGTTTGAATAATGTTTAGGGGCTGATGATCCCCGTTTTTTGCATATTGAAGCATATTGCTGGTGTTGAAACAGGTTCGCCCACCACGAAGCAGCGGCCGAGGTAAATATTGGCCACAAGATGTGGCTGAAGGGTATTTTCAAGGACAGAGCTTTGGAATGCAGCTTTGATGGCATTTAAGTAAAACTAAAATCCAATCCATTGACAAAGCCACGTTTTTGCTGCTTTTTCACCCCTTCAATGTTGTGCCTGGCAATTATGTTAGTTTGTTTCTACCATTATATAACTACTTTGATTTTGAGTTATTAGAGAAAATCCAGGTGACATACTATAGTTATACATCAAGTAAGCTAATAGATAAATATAATATATATATACATTATATATATATATATATGTACATATATGTAAATTATACATGCATATATATATATATATGTATAAATCAGCTATACATGCTACAAATCTCCTGAACTTTCCGAATTTGGTTGCTTTGATGACCATGTTTTGCCCTCGCCGATGACCAAGGCTCCGCGACCCCTACGAACGTCTCGTTGCCCAGTTCCGTGGCGACTTCGACGCCTACGGAGGCGGCTGGGGCTGGCGACGCCTAGTCTGTGACGTGGACTCGGCGATCAAGAAGAAGATGGAGGACATCATCTCAGGCGCAGATCCAGGATTTTTAGGGATTTCAGATGTTTTACCGTTTGTTTTTAGGATTTTTAGGGATTTCAGATGTTTTACTCCCTGTTTTCCAGGGATTTCAGATGTTTTACCGTTTGTTTTTTGGGATTTCAGATGTTTTCCTGTCTGTTTTCAGGGATTTCAATGGATTTCACTTGTCACTGTAGTCGTTTTTTTTTTGAGGGGGAATGAACCAGTAACCAATGGATCATGGATGTAAATGGTTTGACTTGGCCGATTTATCCAGGAATGGTTATTTAAAAAAAATGGTGATAAAATTGTGGTTTTACCATTCTTGTTTCAAATGGGGATTTCAGCTTTAAGGGCGGCAAAATTTTATTCATTCCTGATTTCTTGATTTTTAGCTGTTCTAGGGTATGTGATTCTATGATATGTGTAGTTGATTGAAGACCCACAAAGACGACATGTTTCTTGTTGCCATCCACGTTTTCGCCTGCCCTGGGCCTACCTCACTCGCCCTTGCCTCAGGCACGCTGAGCCTGTTTGCGGAAGATTGCACCTTCGTTCCGCAGGCGGAGTTCTTTGATGGACCCCATGGCAGCTGGGCGAAAGAAAACAGGGATGGGCCCAATTGACATAATTGACTTTCTGTTTGGGATACCCTCTGGTAAACTAACATAGCTATGGAAAATCACAATTGTTAATGGGAAAATCCACTATAAATCACCATTTTCAATAGCTATGTAACAAATTACCAGAGGGTAGGTTGAGTTGCAACCACAAGAAAAACATGTTTGTGGCCCACGAGGATTTTCCTGAAGTGACCTCTAGGACCTCTAGGGTCAAGGGGATTTTTCGCTTCAGGACTGCGGGACTCTGCGGGACACATGTGAGCAGTGTTCAGAACCCCTCTTTGGTTGATGATTATATATAGTGGATGGTACTACCCTCTGGTAATTTAACATAGCTATTGAAAATGCTGATCTACAGTGGATTTTCCCATTAAAAACAGTGATTTTCCATAGTTATGTTAGTTTACCAGAGGGTAATCAATATATTCGGGATAGTCGGATAATCGCAATCGATCAGGGAAATGCCATGAAATGCCTATCAACCAGCCAGTACGTATGAAGGGACGACACAAGGTTTTAAACACTGCTCATGTTGCTCCTTGGTTTTGATATATGGGGATGGGTCAAAACCCTATCCCCCTGGTGAACATCAAAATAGCTGGTAAGTGGATGTTCATCCCCCTAAAAATGCTATGTATAGGTATTGATCCATAGCCATATTTTGATCTTTTCTTGATTTTGATTGCCAGACTGAGGCATCAAGCATCCCGTTGACAACCGTTACTTTGCGCTCTCAGCCAACGAATTTCTGAAAGATCATGGTCATGCGAGCATGCACATCGATACCAGTGACACTTGGTTTTGCCAAGATGGCTCTATAGTGCGCGGATGGATCAAAACCTAGCATAAGCGCCCTTCATGGGGGTGATTTTTCCACTAAAGGATCAAAAGAGAGAGAGAGAGAGAGAGAGAGATGGACTGGTGTTTACAGTGTTTTGTGACTAAAAAAACTTAATCCGTCTTTTACAGGGTGTTTGCCCTTCTAAGTGCGTAGCACATCGGTATTTACAATGTTTTATGATCATTTTTTTACTGAAAATTTATTCCCTCCCGGTGCCACTTTCCAGACGTTTTTGGGATGGACATCCATTCAGCAGCCATTTTGGTGTTCACCAGGGCGGGTGAAGCCTCATGAAGAGCTCACTGAGATCATGTTGCCTAGGGGACGCTGTCTCAAAATGGGATCATTTCAAATTTCATTTCAGGTCGCAAAAATGGCTCGTGGTTTCAAACTGAGAATCAACATGAATCAACTTCCCGAGGCCAGGTGATGGAGAAATTGTGATCATCCCCAATTAATCGACTCGATGACTATGGACTATTTTCCAGGGCCGCTGGCATCAGAAACGTCCAGGACTCATGTGTCCAGTATCAACGTGTGGAGCGATTTTGTGTTCACCGCTCAAAATGATCGCGGCCCTAGATTCTATAGATCAAACCTATGTGAAGCCGCGGTTGATAGACTCCGGTTGTTAAATTAGATTGGCAGATGATCACAAAGCCAAAGTATGCCAAAGTGGAATCCCGAAATAAACATCCGGTGCGTCAACATGAACTCCTTTGTCAACTTGAGCTGCAATACACATGACCTCGTGGTTTCAGTTACCCTCTGGTTATTTAACGTAGCTATGGAGAATCACCATTTGTAATCGGGAAATCATCAAAAATCATCTATAAATGGACCATTTTCATAGTTATGTTAAATAAACAGAGGGTAGTTATTTGTTTCAACTGGATTTCGGTGATCCCAAAGAACTTTCATGGGGATTTTTTGCGGCATGGGTTATGACTGGGGGAATCAGCACCAGCTTTTTTTGGTGGGCCTTTCATGGCCCAAAAAGAGCCAGATGACATTTGGTACTAAGTGGGGTGGATCCCACTGGCTCAAAATCCCCTAATTATGGGTTACATCCCCTATTATATATATATATATATGGGATGAAACACTGCTAAAAAAATAATCAGGCTATAACCTATGCCACTATAATTTTTAAACCCCTTATTGAATCTCCATAATGATTTTGTAAACCTGATGAAATACGAAGTGAAAGTGGTTTCAGAAATCCTGCACCACCAAAAGGATGCTTGAAACCCGGGATGATTGGGATTTCGCAGGCCCATCATGGCCCATCCACAGTTCAGTGGGCGCCCAGGGGCCCCTGTCATCCCTGTTCGAGAGTCCGAGGACATCCTTCATGTGGAGGGCTGCAATCACGTTTGGGCTGGCGATCTGAGCTGTGAAACTAAGGCATTGGTACGTCAGGCGGGTTTTTTCTGGTTTAGTGGCAACCCAAACAAGGGATTAATATGGTTTAATGTGGTTTTGATAATGCTGAATATTAGTTTATAACAAAGTTTAATATGGCTCAATAATGTTTAAGCTGGTTTCAATAGGGATAAGACTGGGATAATAGTGGGATAATAATATATAATGGTATATTGATGGATTTACCTTCTTGTTTTTCAGACATGGCTAGCTGGGAAATCCCCTATCAATGGAGGTTTTGGGTTGGGAAAAACAACTAAATATAAATGGTTGATTTCCCATTGCCATGTTTGATTACATTTTTTGTTGGCCAGGATTTGTTTTTGGCCATTGAAGACACCCACGCAGGAAACTGATGGATCCAAAGCTTCAGGAAACTCCCATGTTTGGTGGGAACGAAAACATTGTTTCCTGTAGATGTTCCCTCAAACTTAATACAACCAATGATTGGACCCCCCCCTTGTTTGCATTGTGACTTGTGACAGCTTGGTTTCATGAAGATGTTCCCTTCAACCATGACCGTGAGTATTGGCACGGCCCATGTGTGATCCGTACCAAACATATATGGGTATGTGTGATCTATGCAGTGAAATTTCGAGTAGAGAGAAGTGGGTAGATGCATTATGAACAAGCTTGAAACAATGGCAACCCCCAAAACATAGCGTAGAACAGTAAAATCATACTTCAGGTATCAGGCACATGGGGCATCCCGAAACCCATTTTCACCGTTGAAAATGCGATTTTGACTGCCATTTTGGACGGACAGCAGGTGCCCTTTATTCAAGATCTACGTACAACCCTTGTCACTTTTTCCTTGTCTTGGCGATCCATGCTGTTTCTTCAGAAATCCTAGGGTCACAAATGATGTGAAAATCGCCCAAGTAGACCTTGGTAGGTCTACGCCAGAGATTTTGAGCTTTTGTGCAGCCATTTCGGTCATTGCGATGTGCATGAGAACGTCTGCCTGGAGATGCACCCTGGCTGGAAATGGCAACACTCCTGAAATGGAGGTAATTACACCCTTGCATCCATTTTTGCTTGTGATTTTCCATGAAATAAACCATCCAGCTATTGGGTAGCCCCATTTATGGGAAAACCCTAAGAAACATGGAAATTGTTGGGGGTTCTTTGCCCCAGAAGCCTCGATTTTTGTCAAAAGCTCGGGGGTACTATGGGGTACTGCACCCCTTGGGCACAAGATGCACACGCATATTTTCTGCATGATGATAGTACGTGGTCATTTCAACTGGTTAAAAATGGTCGTTTCAAGATCCCATTTCCGGAACACGACTTCACATATTTTGATACCGGCTGTTCACATCAAGCCACATGGTTTTGGTGGACGGACGTGTCGTATTTTCCATAGGCAGCATCTCAGTGAAGGTTGGTATGTAATATGAGAAATATATGTGTAAGCTGCGCTGATTCCTTAGATTGGACACAAGATATGAGTATGATATGAGTTTCAGCATGGTGCTTCAAAATGGCAAAATGGCCCAACATGTTTCAACAGGAAAACATGTCTCAACATGCTTCAACTCATCCCGTGTCTAGAAATCTTGTTTTCAATTCCCCTGGGGTCAACTACATACTCGTGATGTGGAAATCCAGCATTTGTAGATTTACTATATAATTTTCCTCGGGGAATCATTGGTTTTCCACGTTTCTTGTATTTTTAGCCCGGGGTAAAGATGTTTTCTCCGGTGTACGTATAATTAACCAAGAGGTGAACCATGTTGGCCAGCGCCCAGGGTGCCAGACATGTGTCCTGGCAATTTACCCGCGAAGCACTTGCAGGGCACCTACTGTGCTTGAGGTCGTCGGGATTACCTGAGTCCAGATGAAAGTATCCTCTGGTAATTTAACATAGCTATTGAAAATTGCCATTTATAGTGAGTTTTCCCATTAAAAATGGTGATTTTCCATAGTTATGTTAGTTTACCAGAGGGTAGGCTTCCCAATCCTGCATTTGGCACGGTCATGGTCTATGTTAGTCGGGGTGATGGTATCAAATTCTTGTGAGAGCTCATGATGATATTCATGGATTCCATTCAGGCTTGTTTTTGCTCACAGAAATGGTATCGGCCCCGGAGAACGAAGTAGCTTTCTTGACAAGGTGATGTCCATATTACGCTGATGGGGTATGGGGTGGGGTGGAATATTAACATGCATTTGCAGTTGCACATGCACTTGATGCTCCATTTGTGCCTTTTTCATCCTTTTTCCAACTTCCACACGCACTTGATTAATGCTACGCTGGTACCGGGGCGCATCGTTGACATAAGCCAAAATGAAAATGCTGCAAACGGCACTTTTTTGAGGTATTAATTAAATAACATGTTCTGGTATATTCATGTCACTTGTTCGATCGCTGGCACTTGCCTTTCTGGGAGCGCAGGCAAGAGAAACTATAGTTTCACGTTAGGTTTACCCCCCATTAGTCCTGTCCACTGATTTTTGGTATATTTTTAGTAAGAGACTGGCTCGTAGTATATAGGTCAAAGTTGCCCCAGACGACACGTGAGCGACAAGTGTTATCATTTTTGTTTTTTATTGCTTTAAGATTTGTAAGTTGGTCTGATGATGCGGTCCTGGGACTGGTGATTTTCGGCTCCCAAAATCATGGGACAACTGGGACAACACTCCCCTGCGAGGACACCTCACCCCCTGAGTTGTCTGGATGGGATCTTGCTCGGCTGATTTATTTCGTCCCCTTTTTATTGAGAAAATAACAGCACTTTCCACAGATGCTGCTTGGAGCGGCTGGAAAAACGTCGCAAAAAAGTCGGCGTCCGATGACTTGTGGGGGCTCGGGCGGATGCCAGGACCGCATTCAGAATTTTTATAGGCAATGGTACCCTCTGGTACATAGCCATGGAAAATGGCCCATTTATAAATGGATCACCTATTTAAAATGGTGATTTTCCATGGCTATGTTAAATAAGCAGATGGTAATGATCATCTCTAGCTGGTTAACAGTCCCAGGCAGTGCGTTTTCGTTGCACGTGCTTTTTTTTGTGGGTGTTCCCTAGAGAATCACTGTTGACCCGTAAGATGGTCAAGTGAGGCGGAAGGTAGCTCCCTCATTCGAAACCTTCCAGCAGCTGTGTGATAGCTAGCTGTGTCGCGAACTTTTTGGCCAGAATGTGTGGGGATGTGCGGGGCCATCCGGGGCCATGCGGGGCCATAGGGGTCAGAAAAAATGATTCACTCCACCGAGTTTTGTCATGTTGTGTCATTTCTTGCAATCATCCAGCACAAAATGAGTTTATTGAAGGATATTGAAGGTTTAATTATTGTGTATGTTTCTAGCATTTTTAGATTTAGCACATCATCCCATATTTTTGGCTGGAGTATGTGACATAGCTTCCAAGGTCTGAAGGTTCCTGGAGATGCCGCTGGAATGCCCAATCCCTATGTGGAAGTGGAGTGCTTAGGTGAGAAGAGAACTACGCAGGCGCGTGGCGCCCGCGTCATGAGAATCAATGGATTGCTTGAGAGTTAAACTAGTTATGTTTAGGTGGGTTTCTTAACTTGAAACTGACTGATGGTTTGGAACATTTTTCCATCAATTTTCCCATCATATTGGGAATTTCATCATCCCAATTGACGAACTCCATCATTTTTCGGAAGGGTGGCCCAAGGCTAGGAGCTCAGTGGAACTGGGCCAGGATGGGTGGATGGTCAACAGTACCCGACCTGGTAAACATACAAAAAGCTACTGTATTGACAATGGCCATAGAAATAGTTATTAAAAATGATGATTTTCCATATAGTTATGTTAGTTTACCAGAGGGTAGAGCGTATTTCATGAGACTGGAAACATCCGGAAACAGGTCGCAATTGCCATTGGGATTCGCCAGGTGATCAGTGGAGCCTCTGCTTGTACCTTCAACAACTTTTACAGCTTCTTGTGACATCAGCGGTGGGACATCACCAAGCTGGTGGCAGGGGATGTTCTTGTGCCAATTGGGGCTGGTACAGGAACCTGACAATGTTTGACTGCATGAATGAAATTGGCTGAGACGCATAGTGCCAAATAATCAACAAATTAGTGACATTTGAAATGAATTGGCTGATACCCCAATGAAATTTGACACATATGTGTTGGCTGAAGTGAATACAAATTGTCAACTTGGCGACATTGGCGACGCCAACCTGATAAACTGCCACAGCTTGCCCCATAACCATCCACAACCGCCATAACCTGTCTGTTGAATTCGATGGAGATTCAGGTAGCTGGGCCGTATGACCAATGTCCAAATTCCGCGAACGCAGATACTGCACGACCATATGCTGAAAATATCTGAAAATTAATGAAAATTGGGGATTTACCCGCAATGTATGACCAATGACCATTTAGCAGGGAACATCTTGACAGACCAATGGTGATTTGGAGTGGTTTCCACCCCAAAAAATCAGTCAAACCCACTAATTATGTTTGGGAAAGATTGGACACAATCCTCCTCAAAACTTGGGCTTTACAACTCCAGGCCTCAACTTCAAGGCCCCCTATCCCAAGCGCATCAACCTGAGACTTCTCGAAGCATATGAGCGAAGATGACTTTACTGGTGGTGATGCTGTGGTGGCCGTGTATCACCAGAAGTCCCTTGGTTCATGACATTGGTGCGACCCCACCTGGTTGATGGTTTCAAACATGATTTTTATTTTCCATAATATATGGGATAATCCTTCCCATTGACTTTCATATTTTTGATAAGATGGTTAAAACTACCAACCAGACACAATCTGTGCAGGTTTGGGCTTTGAATTCTAGACCCATACCCATGCAAAGAGATTGGAAGTTGTTTTGTTTGTTCACCTGTCCATCTATAGATGGATCCATCATAAACATTCATAAACCCCATTTAGAGTGTTACATATTATGCTATGCTATATAATATATATATATATACGCATTATGTGATATATATATATTATAATAAGTATATACATATATCATATTAAATTAACCAACTCACAGTTCTCATGACCCCTCTGGTGTTTCGTGTGTGTTTTTTTTTAACACTTCAACTTTCTTGGCCACATCAAGGAACAGCTTTGGTTTCAAGGTGAAGTTGGGCCAAGTGACCTTTAGTCTTGAGAAGGTGTCCCTTGGCAGCAACAGCATTCCAGGCATCAATTTTGACGGAGCACGACATGTATAATGTACATGCATGTTGTAGATGTAGATGTATATATATATGTATATAATTGTATAATATTATATATATATATGATTTCTTCATTTATTTTGATTTATTTTTACATCAAAATGCATACATATATATATATATATATAATCATATGATGTGTATATATATATATGTGGAAGTTCACATACATCTCCAAAAATGGCAATAACGTACCAACACGACACGTGTCTCTTTATGAGATGCCACTTGGGTCCTTGGCACCGAGCATACGACGAGGTACAACCAGGACGGGCACTTGGTTCCCAAGGACTGGTTCGTCATCGTTCTGCCCGACGATCCAGGCGCGGACCGAGGCTACCGGGGTCGTAGCCTCGGTCTCCTCATCAAAATGGAAGTTTTTATGGGAAAATCATGGGAAAATTATGGACTATATGGATTATATTTTATGGAAAATCATGGGCTATTTATGGAATATAATCTATAAGTTGTGGATTTCTCCATTGCCATGTTTGATATAGAGGGTAAAATCTGGGGATAGGTTTTGAAGGCGGGTGAGATCCCTTTGCTCTCTTCAGCCTTTGTTCGACTTTCAGTATTAGTTCTTTGCTGAACTTTCCTTCAAGCACCATGTGGGTGCATTTGAAATTGGGGCATACCACCACCCAAAGTTTCCTTTAATTCTGGTCGAGTCAATGACCCCACCATGGCTTCAGCCAGGTAAGGGCTGCGGCTATGTGGAGCTGTCCTTGGGTGCGTACGCACCAGGCGAGTCATTTGAGGTTTGCTTTCTTGTGCAGACACATCCGCACATATGTATGATGTAACCTCTGGTGAACATACAAAAAGCTATTGAAAATGGCCATAGAAATAGTTGATCTTCCCATTCAAAATGGTGAATCTTTCCATAGTTTTTTTGTGCCAGTGTATATACCATCTGGTTATTTAACATAGCCATGGAAAATCACCATTCTTAAGAGGTAAACCATCTATAAATAGGCCATTTTCCATGGCTATGTTAAATAACCAGAGGGTAATTGTATTTTTTTGTAGTGAAAGACGTCAGCACAGCTCTCGCCAGGTGACATTGTTCCGCAGAGTGTGTCAGGAGCTTTTGTCGGTACCTTTCAGTGTCTTCAAACACCTAATAAATCCCCGCACTAAATGGAGGTTTGAATGGGAAAGTCATTGATCAATTGGAAGGTGTCCGCATCCATTGCCATACTTGCCATGTTTGATTACCGCAGGGCATATGTGCTTACAGAAGTGTTCATGCCTGTTGGTAGAATGTGTAGAGAGATTGTGTGCATGGATCGTTGTGAGCCATAATTTCAATTGACAAAGAAGCGGATACATAACAGTTAACAGTGGAAGATTCACTAAGCGCTAGGATGCGCTAGGTTGCCAATGCATCTCAACAGATAGCTGCGTGTATTTGAGAGTGTTATTCTTCCACGTGGCAGAACGGCTCAACAAACCCATAAATCCCTCCAGTTCGGGATTGTTGAACCATCCATTTTTGCCTTCAAAGCCTGCAGCCTTGGGGTGAGTTTATATCCCTATATATCCCTTATCCCGTGATTATTTGTGCACATGTCTATTTGTTTGAACATATATATATATATATATATGTATATATATATATGTATATATATATATTTGTATATATATATGTATGTATATATATATATATTTGTATATATATATATATTTGTATATATATATATTATGATGCTATCCATATTTGGGTCCGTCAGAACAAATGCAACCCCTGAACCCCACAGTTGATCATCATCATTGAATCATGTTCCTCAAGTGTCCCTACAACATTACCATAACAGAAGGTAACATGGACATATTCAGACACACCCATATCGATTCATCATTGGTTTGATATGCTTATGTTAAATCATGTTAAGCCCCCTATCAATTCATGTTAACACTATTAACAATGTTAGTTGATATGGTTAATTCATGTTAGATATGGTCAGCTCATGCTAGATCCCGAAATCATGATAAAACATCACCAGTCCAACGGTGCGCCGTAGGAGGTGCTGACGTGGATGAAGCTGCTGAGGTGCAGTCGATCAAGACGCGTGTGGTGAAGTTGCTTGGAGCATCGAAAGGGGGACGATCGATCGAAAGGGGGAATGATGAAAGGTGGTGTTTTCCCTCAGTGATGTGAACGTTGGTTTATAAGCCCCATGAAAAGTATGGGTATATCATGGTATATCTACCATAAACCCTAGTGAAATTGGAGTTATGAACCAACTTAGCTAACTATGGGGCACCACACTGTTGGAAGGTTCCAAAGATTTGGGTAAGGAATGGCTCGCAGAGTGGTCTGATGTTGATGAATATTTTGTAGAAATACATAAGTAGATGTATGTTGATAAGGATCAAGCCGCTGATTGATGTAGTTGCTTACGACTTACTTTGTTGGACATATCGGTTATCAGATCACAAGCATTTCTGATCCATAACCCATGAATAGAGTGCAATCCAGTTTGAGGGAGCATTTGCAGAAACCCCTGCAAAACTATTTTCTCATATTTTCTCTATCAATAAGCACCCCACTCATTGGTCAGTGGTTTGCAGGGTGGCTTTTCGTCCTGGGGGTTGATAAGGGTAATGGCAGAAGTCAGGAAACGGTGGGTAGAATTGGGACTGCATCATCCCAACACATACTATATGTCTCTCTCTCTCTATATATATATATAGATAGTTATATAGTTTAGGTATGTAGCCTTATAATAATATAGCCCCCTTGTCACATCCAACCCATGTACATCAAATTCATTGAACATCATCCATCACAACCATCCCAGCCGGCTTCCTTTACGGCTCTTAGCTCCCATTGATCTCACCTCTGCCGGTTGGATCGCACAACGATGGCCCGAAGCTCGTTGATCCCGGTGCTGCTGCTAGCGGCTGTGGCCTTCTACGGCTTCAGCTGTTTCGTGGCACCTGCTGAAAAGCCGCAGGTGGCGCACACGCAGGGCTTGCGAGGTGGGGAGGGGCCTGGGGCCTGGGGCCTGAGGGCATACAGCTACTATCAGCTACCTGTTAGGCCTCGTTTGGTGGTTGGGAGCCATGGGTCTTTATAGTTCCTTTGAAACGGGGAGAAACGGAGCTATGAGAGCTTTGAACTGAGGTGACCCTGCGGCCGCCGCCGTCTTGGGCGCCGTGGTGGCGGTGGCGCCGCAGGCCGCGTTGGCCGGGAACTCGGGCTACGCCCTGCTGCAGCTGGGCTGGGCCATCTTCATCATCTCCTTGGGCCCTGCGGTGACTTGGTGTCGCTGCATCCCACTGGCTAACACCTAACAACCATAATAGGCCATAGGTAGTGGGAATAAGTGGGATATTGGCTTATATAGGTTTGTAAGTAAGTGGATGTTATGGTAAGAACCTAATGGAACTGAACGACCATACCAGAAGCCAGTTGTATGTAGAACCTAGTCATGTATGGGCTATAAACCATTACCATGTGGTAATTGGGATGCACCCCCATGAAGGTAAGATGGAATGTGGGGGTTGGATCGGGATGACTGGGCTTGCACACCACATCTGCACGTATACATGGGGTCATGGATTTAAGACGTAACGGGGAAATAAAATGGTTGGAAGGGAAGATGGGTTGTGGATATAAATATATATATATATACACATTCATATATATATATATATATTAAATAGTTCTATGTATGTATATATATGTGTGTGTGTGTGTTATATGTATGTGTGTGTGCATGTGTGTTATTTCTGTATGTGAATCATGGATGCACTATGGATACAACATGCGGTGTTTACAAGATATGTCATCTGGGTATGAAAATGGGGTATAGCCATGTTGCTGGGGGCGATGTCGTAAGGGGTTCTGTGGGTAGGGGAAGGTTACTAAAGGGTCTTAAAGGAAAGATAAACGAGCCCCCGAATTTATTGATGTTGTTCCTGCAAGTAAAATAGAGGCCAACCTCCCCAACCCCAAACCATCCTGCAGTTGGACGGGGGAAGGCGCGGTTTGGAAGAAGATGAGATGTTTGATGTTCATGAGCCAAACAGAACGTGTGATATTGGATGTAGCCGAATCCATCTTCCAACAACTGTTGGAGCCCTTTCATTCATCTCACTTACCCTCTGGTAAACTAACATAAATGGGACATAACTCACTATTTCTATGGCCATTTTCAATAGCAAACTCTTAGTTTACCAGGCCGGGTACCGTATGTAATAACTGGATGTAACTGCTTGGTCGCTATAGTTACTATAGTTCCTTACTCTCCGGTTTACTGGGCACATAGACATGGAACATCCATGAACATCCATCATGTCCAATCGTATGTAGATTTTTTGTTAGGGAAAACAATGGATTTCAATGGCATCAATAGCTATGATCGTTTACTGGAGGGTAACTCAGCTTAAACCCTGGTAGACTTGCCTTGAGAGATAACCAGCTGCCCAATTTATGAGTTATTCTCCCGCTGGCAGCTTAGGTCCTTTTCTGGATCTACTTCAACAAGCCGGAGCTTCTTTGAGCAGTGAGAGGGCAGTTATCTCCACCAGCACCTGGCCTTTTTCGGCCAGTCCCAGGATTGGATGGATCATGGATGCAGGACATCCATATTGATATTAAGGGTCTTACCATGTTTTACCAAGATTTATGGTGATTATAGGATATGTATTGATATGTGATTATAAGAATGCAAATCAGCCCCGAGCCCATTTCATTCATTGGCTTGCGTTGAATGCTTTAGTCCGGTGAATTTAGCACAACATGAAACCTTGGAGAAGCCAGAAACTTGGGATACTGGAGACTAACCTGTCCACTAGTATTACGACGAGTGTCTATACATTGTGGCACATGCAATCTCATCTAACTTCGTTCAGGAAGTGGGCTCATTCACTTTCCTTGTGTTTCCCTCTTGTCCATTTTGACAATAATCCTTCAAACTTACGAATCTGATTGTCAGAAAATCTTGCGTTTTGAAGTTGATTAAATTCAAGTCTGTGAGCACCGCACCCTTGATGCTGAACTGTACCGCAATATAGACGTTCATTTGGAGAATGTTTGTTGATAAAGTTCCAGCAGTAGTTGGTAAAGGAGGCGTTCATGTTGGATGCCCAGCTTTAGATTCTTGATCGCTTGGCATGCTGGACAGGTGCTTGTCGTGAGTGAAGTTTTTGTGTTTTCCGAACGCTGCGAACAGAAAGTGGCAAAGGAAAACGGCGCAGATGTGGAGCATCGGTGGTTCATTGTATATTTAAGATTTATTTAACTGTAAATAGACTAGTTTGCATATGTATATATAGATATAGTTATAGAAATCGTGTGCAGTCAAAATCATTGTGATAACTGTCAAATACTGTCAATGGTCCTTACGGTAATCATTTGAGAATTGACCGTGAGGTTCATTCGGCTTAACATGGCTTAAGAATCTCTTAGAAGGCGCGCGGTTTTTCCATCCGGTCATGCATACAACGTCAACCCACATCAACGCCTTGGGTATTTGTTCACACACTAAGGGAATCAACTTCCCATGTTTTTATTCTGTGTCAAAACCCCGTGATGGACAAACAAGCATCATGTGATTTGCGCGCCTTGCCGTGTCAATTGGTATCCCATATGGATCCATGTATGGAAAGTCCATGGTTCGCATATATGGCAAGAGGTGGTGGTGAGATCTCAACAACTTCCCAATGACAGCGTGGTGAGCCTATTTCTAAATCGGAATGTTTATGGGTTCATACCCATGATCAATGGTGGGTTCATCCGCTTCATCCCCGAAGTTGCTTCCAGAATCTACAGAAAGCAGTTGAGCTATGGAATGCCGATGATTTGCCATAGCTACTCACCAGGTTGCCGACCAAAGATGCGGCCAAGTCACTCTTCCAACTCACCGTGTGCATCTACCAGGTGCGCCGTGCCAAAGGATTGAACCTGGGGATGGTTGAGCCCCAACATTGTCGTTGTTTTTGTTTGGGGTTGGCCACAATGGTTTTCTGTTTGGTGGTTTTAGTCATGTCCTATTTTCCATCCCTGAATGATTGTCGATGATTGTTGGGTGGTTTTCACATCGTTCAAGGGTTGTGAAGCCATCAGCCAAGTGTTTCCTTGGTTTCAACAATCGTAGGATCTTTCTTTGCAGAGTCATTGTTAAACTTTGGAAGGGCGCCTTTTCAATGTGTGTAATCTATGGCAGTTCGCTGGGTCATGTTTGGTGCCATTGAATGTGGCGCCAACGTTGGTGTGGGAATTGTTGAATCCATCGCAGCCACTTTTTGCGAAACTGTATGAATCTGTCAACGAGATCTACTGCTACTGTCAATGGCATTGGGGTAGGGGACCTGTCTGCAATTTAGCAATTCAGTGAGCTCACCTATGTGAGATTATGTGAGATATCCAGCCTTCAGGAAGTAATTTCCGGAAATGGAATCCCATGAGGGTGAGGTAAAACAGGATAATGTGGGAAACCCATGCCATAAACCTACCATGACTGGGGATGGTTGGAATCCCACCCATAAAATTGTGATGACTTGGGGATGGTTTCTGGCATTGGGTTTGCCACATTCATTTCTCCTAAACTACATGACATGGGTATTCAAAAGGGTGCCTTGACTCGGCAACGGCACTGTGGGGCAGGCAGAGCAGCTGGCCATGATCAAAGGTGCCGTCGCTGGAAAGGGTGGGAAAACAGCTTATTTTCTTCATAAGGAACTACATCCCACTGAACCAATCATGTACAGGTGAAAGAAAAACATCATGTTCCAGCAGGAATACGCATGTCATGGACATGTCATTCAGGAAAGATTTGCCAGCAACACTGTGTGGTTTTCAGATTACCCAGACATGACACGACCATTTCGTTGGGCCTGGTGCTTCTGGTGCTTCTGGTGCTCCTCGTCCTGCCTTGCTTCGTTCGGTGATGTTCAGGGGGAAATCATCGAACTCAATGCGGGCCCAGCAGTGCATGTTTGACCAGAAAGTATCCAGTAAACTGATAGAAGTATGGAAGCCATATGAAGCCATGGCCCATTTACAGATGCTGTACGTCGTACTTGTGATTTGAGAATGGTGATTTCCCAGCCAGCCATGTTTAGTATATTTTTATCATATATCCCCACCATTCAATTCCATTCATATCCCCCCAAATGGTGGTTGAGATATCTCCATTTTTAGATATCCCCATTGGGTAAACCATGGTAAACCAATCGCTGAGGTATGATGGGTTCCAGCTGTAATCCCTTCGTCCAAGTGGACTTTAATGGCACCTCCCAGCGCACCCAGACACAGCGGCACCCCGCACAAAAGGATGGTGGGGATAGTGATGTAGCTGCAGCTGTCCATCGTTTCTTCTTCCAAATGGGCATATGTATATATATATATGTTATACTCAAGAGTCAAGAGCATCTTACAGCTAAACATGGAATATCATGGAATCAACGCTTCTCCAGGTTGACTAACAGCTAAGATTGGGCATATACAAAACGGTGGAAAAGATCATCTCGAAGGAACTACTGTAAATTCGGCTTAATTCATGTGCTTTGATTGTTGAAACTTGTTGAAACCTCGGTAACCTTGGTAACCTCGGTATTATGTGTGCTTGCATTTTTTTATAGAGATATATCTCTATATCATCTATTGATATCTATTGATCATGATGGTATGATGATATAGATGGTATTATGATATAGAGATATAGATGATCATGATCTGTTTTTTTGTTTGACTGGTTTCTCTTCGACCCAAAAAAAACAAGATCACCAAGCCGCGGCCTTGGACGACCCAGGAATAACAACCCCACCTGGAACGAGGAAGTGCAAGTGCCCTTTTCCATGCCGGCATGGGATCTGACCTCAGAGATGGGAGGGAATGGTTCACCCGGGGGGGGGTTGTTTTTGGAGTAAAACTGCATTTTTTAAAACTGGCTTCAGTTTCTGAGATTGTCTTGAAGAGTTCCTCAAGAATTTTTCTGAATGAGTTGACATTGAGTTTGCAGTCGGCCACCCATCTCCCCAGGGACTCCGGGACTCTTTCGTGAGGACAACAGCGTCAACGTCACCGTGTTCCATGATGGCGGCCTCACAGGCAGTAAGGTGGAGCTGGGAGTGGCTCGGTGTGGTTAATAGTATTTGATAATCTGTAGTTTTTTTGTGCCAGTGTATATACCATCTGGTTATTTAACATAGCCATGGAAAATCATCATTTTTAATAGGTAAACCATCTATAAATGGGCCATTTTCCATGGCTATGTCAAATAACCACATGGTAATACATTATGATGGATAGTAAATGGAAAATGGTGATTACATGTGATTAAAAAATCGTCATACATGGTGATATTGTTCATAAATGGTGATTAATCATTATACATGCTAATGCTAGAAAAGCAATAGTAAGCCATCACATTTACACGCATTTACCATAAATGGGTGGTATAAATCATGTGCGCACTTCCATCACGCCTTTGGCACAGCTCGGGCAGGGAGACCTGATGGCGATTTTGAGAGAGAGAGAGAGACAAATGATTAAAATATTTGTGGTTTACTGTTGCTGTACCAACCTGATACAGTACCCAAAGACTAATTTTACCATCTCTCCAAATGAAAATTCATAGGCCCTGACTTCCCAAGAGGAATGTGGTGTTTCCAACCCCTTTCTGGCAGAAAAAGATGGGGAACTGATTTGGGGTACTTTATTATTTCAGACCCAACCGAGATGGATCTTAGGAATTTAGCATGGTGTGATGGTTGAATTTCAGCAGATGGTCACTGATAAGTGCTTGGCCTACTCTGATCATTACCTTCTGGCACTCAAACATGGCAGGGATACCTTGTATGACATTGACACGCCTATCCTTTCACAACTTGGAATCTGATTCTCCAACATCTTCAACGACTGAGAGGGAAACTATTGTTCATAGAGTAATTTTGTCAGTTTGTGCGCCGAGCTCCCTTTGCACTTTGCAGCTTTCGTGCGTTCATTCTTATGGGAAAAATATACCCTCTGGTAAACTAACATAGCTATTGAAAATGGCCATTTATAGTGGATTTCCGATTAAACATGGTGATTTTCCATAGCTATGTTAAATTACCAGATGGTATTTAAAAAAAACATGGCTGCCAGGGAAATTCCCAATTGACTTCGATGATGTTCCTATGATTGCATCATGACGAATCCCATGGGAAAATCATCGAACTACGTCCGAGGACGTAACGTTGGACATCGACAACTTGGCTGAGGAGGCCTTGGAGCCCACCTGGTTCTACTTCTACAAGGCCCTAAAAGGGCCATGGATGGCCCTAAAAGGGCCGGGCGTTTTTTGAAAAATGGTGGTGAGACCAAGGAAATATGATGGTTTGGGGGATGTTCTTATTGCGGTAGCCACCCCATAAAGGTGATACGTCAGCAGCACATGTGCCTATTGTTCTGGTTGAATGAAGGAAGATGCAAGAGCTGACGCTGAGATACATGAACAGCCTTCTACTCAAAAAGTAATCGGTGATACGGATGTGTGGGTTTTGCAGAGCCAGTACAATGATGAAAAATGGTGGATTTCTCAGCGGATGGGCTGACTGCCCTGTTGGTGACCCATGCTGTGCCAGGCGCCAGATGGCAAGAAGGAAGAAAAGTCCGTGACTCGGCTGGAGGCAAATGGCCAGGGGAGAACTGTCCTGGCGACACGGGTAGATCTGAGGATGGATGGATTGAAATGGCCTGGGGTAGAGCCATACAGTTTTAAAGACATGATTACTGTAATTAATACAGGAACTGCAAGTGGCAATGCAAGAACCATTGTATCGATAGGAGCTCGGAATGCACGAATCATTGTCACAAAAGTTTCTAGTTGGGATTTCCAGCATGGTTTCAGCACGCAAGCAACGTCGCTGTGGTGCTCCAGGCTGAGCTATTTCACACCAGACCAGCTAGTGTTAGGAGACTGTCCTTCGTGTTGTAGGAATTCTATTTGCTACTGCATCATTGATTCATGGTGTGTAGTGTGGAATGTATCTTCACTCGTGTTACTGGTAGCAGCAAATGTTCAACTTTGTTGGAATCAATTCCTTCAGTGGTTTATTTGACGGCTGGATTTCTTACAGAGAGTTCCGAGCATTTTGGCTAAGGAATTTGCGGGACGCATGTTGGTTTCTGCCAGCATGGAACGAACGGAAACATGGCAAGACTTGGACATTTGGGATGTCACAGCTCTTGTTTGATGTCATTGGAGGTGTCTAGTGCCATTGGGTCCTTCAGCAGATTTGGAATGTATGGCAATTAATGCAATATATATATATATACTATATACATATCAATTGCCGCGGCGAATGACGTCGTGCACTAATATGGGTTTTAGCCCTTGCTGCATACCCAGTTATTTCTTCATTGGGAGGACTTGAACAACTTGAGCTAGGAGCAGAAGAAAGGCTTCTTTGTACCCAAGGGTGCTGGTGTTGCATCACCATCAACCGTGTTCAATCGTTTTGTCCGCCTGATTTGTTTCTTTGCGGCCTCTACCAACACAATCCAAAACTTGTGGAGTGGAAAAGGATCTAGAAAAAAAAACTATGATCTAGTTAGCCAATGGAACTCATGTTGCATCAGCTTCAATTTTTCACCAAGGGGATTTCGGGCTTAGGAGAAACCCATTTTGACCATCAACCCTGGATCCATTGCCAATCCGCCCAAAGTTACGGCGGGCGTGGCCAGCTGGCAGCACTATATGGGACATAGGGCGGGGAACTGCTGAAACGTGGCAAGCTGGAAAAATCCTCTATACCCTATGGTAAACTAACAGTTTGCTATGGAAAATGGTTACTTTTACTAGGTCACTAGGTAAATCAACTATAAGTGGGCCATTTTCAATAGCTATGTTAGATTACCGGAGGGTAAATATGGAGGTCAAAACGTTTCAAAGGGAAAAGCTCTATAAATTTAGTGCATCAATAGTGAATGGAGAGAATTGCCACGTTTGATTAGTGGAGGGTACCCAAGAATTTCCATTCATGCCAGGTGTAACTAATCAACTACTTGGCTTTGTTGGAAGTCTGCTCCGCAATGGCTAAACGTGGTAAACCTCGGTTGGATACCGGTAGGTTATGGCCGTCTCTTGGCTGGCCCCCTGAGATTTGGGATAGATTGGCCATGTGAGTAAAACAATGCCATAAACCAGCCATGACTGGGAATGGTGAAGATACCACCTGTAAACATGGTGATGACTGGGGGATGCTTTATGGCATAGTTTTGCCAACATTAATGACCATGTACCCTCTGGTTATTAACATAGCCATGGAAAATTGACCATTTATAGGTGATGTTCCCATAAAAACCTCCGTTTATAATGGATTTTCCATGGCTATGTTAAATAACCAGATGGTAACTATAGATTAACTATGTATGTATCTGGCAGCCGTTGCGTCATTACATCGCACAGGCCTGGATTGATCTCTATATGGTGTGTTTCGACAGCACGGAGCAGCCTGAACAGCTCTATGTACAGATTGCCACTTGGATGGGTTCACGTGGGTTTGTGCAGTTGGGTCCTTTGTTCAGATAGATTCAGATACCCTCTGGTAAACTTTTACATAACTACGGAAAGATCCACCATTTTCATGGGAAAATTCACTATAAATGGCCATTTTCCATAGCTATGTTAGTTTACCAGAGGGTAGATTCAGATATGTTAAGCGTACATGGCTTAAACTACCCCTGGTGTTTGCAGTTTTAACTGCAAACACAAAGTAGATTTCATATCACGATCAACAACTTCAGAATCTTGATGTTTTTTTCACATATTCCCCCCACATGTTGTCAGGTATCAACCCTGCCTATATGACAACATATCATATATTTGTCATCAGTTGTCATAGTGTCATAGTTACTACCAATATAACACATAGAAAAAATATTTTTAAATACAAAGATAAATATCATATATAAATTTCTAATACATTAATATCATGTAATGTAACATAACATAATATGATATAATATAATTTATATAATATATAGTACAATTTAATACAATAGTGCAGGATTATCATGAATTTGACATTCCACTTAGACTCGTTCTATGTCCATTTCACCCCACAGGAGCTGCCACGCATCATCGACGCGGAGGTGCTGTCCTCGCAGCCAGAGCCCGAGGGCCATGGCTTCGTATGGAAAGGGAAGGAGATCCGCTTGGATCACATGGTGCCATGGCTGGTGGAGGATGGAAGGAATATTTGATGATACCGTCATTTTAGCAAAGGGTAGATATATCATTACATTATATTTATATATATATATATCATAATGCGTATAATGTCTATTTATATATATATATAACGATTTTATAAATTGTCAATGTTACACAACTAAATGATAGTCGATGCAATAATCACTAGGTGATGCCCCCTCCGTTAGGTTTGTCGGTTTATACCTTCCAGAAGCCCGCGCTACTACTGTCCAGCCATTGGCGGCATCTAACACCACCAATCACCCTGTTCATATTAAACACCCCCATATTTATGAATTCCCTACTAGACTACAAGGTGGTGCCCCCCCAGTTATAAGTTGGTTTATAATCCCCATTAACTATAGATATAACCCCCATAATCCCTAGTTATTGGACTTATAATCCAACTTAGCTAACTATGGGGCACCACCTAGTATGGTTATCCAGGGGATGTTTCATATGGGGAGAATGGATTACATGGAGCTTCGCACGGCTAAAAACCTCGAGTCTGAGGTGCCGACCTTTTCCTTGCCCGCGCCGGAGAATTGTGGCGAATTCATCATCAGTGCCACTGGTTCTGCAGTGATTGCCAGTGCTGTATGGAAAATCATGGAACATCATCATCTGGTTGGTGGTTTCAAACATGAATTTTATTTTCCATTTCATATATTATATGGGATGTCATCCTTCCTATTGACGAACTCATATTTTTCATAATATGGTTATTGCACCACCAACCAGTATAGTTACCCTCTGGTAATTTAACATAGCTATTGAAGCCATGGCCCAGTCGAAATAGTGAGTTTTCCCATTAAAAATGGTGCATCTTTCCCATGAAAAATGGTAAAAACCACAACCAGCCATTTCTTTCATTCATAGAATTGGATGATGGGAAAATTTTAACTGGAAAACCCTATATTTGATGGTAAAAACCATGGTTTCCTGTAGATTTTCCCTTAAACCAATCCATTTCTTTCATGGGTGAATCAACGAAGTAATTTCCGGTCCATTTTCCATGACCCGCGGATTCATCGATACCCCGATGGATTTTTTTAGCGAGCCGGGAAAGTTGGCCTCCCGTTGTGGTCAACGAATTTACTACGCTTAAATGGTAGCCTAAGACCCAGAGATTTATTAACTAGGTCAATCTTACATGGATACTTTAATCCTTTAGTCTTTTGGCATTAATGGGAATATCTACTAACCAGCAAAGAATTTAATATGTTTGCAGGGTATCTAAGATTGGCCATGTTAAGTCGGGGTTGACATTATCCCCACATTGACTCACATTGACCGTTTACAGTTCAAAGTCTAGACATATGGCGAGAGGGGTGATGCCCAGCCACACGATCACTCATACGCCCAGTGCTACTGTGAGGGAATGCATTCAACCTTGGGAAACCACACTTTACGTTTAATGTTTTGCCATACTTTGATCAGACTGACTTTAGTATGGACTGTTACTGCCAGAACTCTTCGCCTACCACGAGGTTTATGCAAAGTTCAAAAAGAAGGGACTTCTGGGCGGAAAGAAACCTGAGCGATATATGAGCCTCGGCTGAACTTTGAAAAGGTGCCTCCAGAACGCCTTCAGGGTTTCAGACATTTTTTGGCACGCTGCTGACATAACAGTTCGATTTTGTGGCACCTCTTTCATATCAAAGATTTAGCAGCATATATTTCACTTTGCCTTGCATAGGCTAGGATTTCGTTAAGATCCCATGTCCTTTTTTCTGCTACATTTACATTTTGTCTTAAAGTATTGAAGAAGTTGATGTTTCTCAACAAGGACCCAAGGACCAGGCACATCAGCTCAACAATCAGCAGCGATGCTGCCTCTCTCCATGACATCCATGGAGAAGCGATGAGGTATGCAAGGGTGCCTGCCGAAGAAGTGTGCAAGTGGGATCAAACACCAAGGTGGACACTTGGAATTGCGGCTAGTGGGATGGAGTAGATGGACATGTCACTGTGTTGTACACCCCTTGGACAGGTGACCGCAGGCCATCCTTTCCGCAGAAAATTATTAATTATACTAATAATATACACAGTTTAAACAAAAACCGCTTGGCTGCCTTGTTGCAATCACATTTGAATCACGGTGAAAATGTTTTCTCCTCCTAAATTGGTTCGTTGGAGATGTGACCACCTGCAGAATTGTACCCCGTTTTTTTTGTTTTTGGCTTGTGTGAGCTGAACGTTGGGATAGGATAGGGGTCCAGCCAGTAATCAATCATCCACAATCATTTCAATTGATTGAAAGCGAGACTTCGTGGTTTTGTAGCCAATGCACAGCTTTATGCCGTTTTTTTTTTTGGCCTCCTTCAGTAACCCCCAAGAGTTGAACGTTAGGGAGGCAGAACCCGGATTGTTTTTGCAAAGTCATGATGCACTGAATGAGTGCAGCAATTTCAAAATTCAACATTTGGTAGCAGGAAAAGACATGCACATCAGTTGTTTTTTCCAGCGGAGTTGAAACATGACATTGCTTAGCAGATAAACAATGAGATCCACCCATTTCCAGCCGGCTTGTGCATCTCCATGATATTCCAATAACAGTATATAATGAATTGTGCCAAATGGACCAAGGCATACAGGTGTCCATGTCCATGTTTGCAATGCTGGTTCTGGTTTCTTCCATGTACAGTACAATGTAGAGGCAATAATGTCGCGGCCCCCAACACGATTACTGCACAAAATTTATGCAATGGTTACTACATTGATCACCAGTTTAGCCCTAAACCGAACAACACATTAAAAACAGGACGCTAAGATTGACAGCAACAAGATAACGTGTTTCTGGGACATTTTTCTTTGACAATCCTCCTCATTTCTCAAACGAAGCCCATGCTTTAAGTCCCTGCAATGCTGTTGGCATTTCGCACCACGCCGGCTCGCCCTGAGGAGAGATATGCGTATGGTGGTGCATGGTGGTGAAGATGTAGGTGGGCAGTTTGACAACTCAGTGCAGGATGCCTTGTGGTAATCCAGCCTGGCAATAGAACCCCCTCTGTTTTGGGAACATGATCTATTACATGAATATAGACTATACAATGATCATATTCCCAATGAATATAGACTATATAATATATAGATGAATATAGATGAATATAATATAGACTATATATATAATATAGATGATGGATTTTTGACAGGTTGGATTACCAGAGACAGGAAATGGCGGGATTTCGTGGCCAAACTTTGCTTTGCCAAACTAGCCTTGCTGCAAGCATCCCCAAACCAGGCCAGCCCCAGACTAGCCAAAGCCAAAGCCTTTGTCAACCGCATTTTGCAGGTAGTGCTGGTTTCTTGCTGCTGCTTCTCAGCTTGAATATTGGCCCCCTTGGCCCCCCTTTGATTTGATGGACTTATTCTGGGTCACCCAGTGAGGGGTGCATGCCACTGTTCCATACTGTTCCAGTGTTGGTTTCTTTTCTTTTTGTCCCAGGAAGGTCAAAACTGCCATGGCTCAGGACCCTCTGCCTGGGAAGCGAGTCATTGAAGCCGACCAGGCATGGGAGTCAAGGATGTGTCCAAGTGCGCATCACCACCAAGAGTCACCAATTTTGTTTTGGGCATTGTATGTATATATATATACATATTATACATATCGTACAATCTATATGTTATTTTCCATTGTATGATGGAAACGTTAACTATTAAGTGCAAGACAATCACATATCAAAACATTATGTAGGATTTGGGCAAGTTGAAACTGCAGACTTGACACACTTCAATCGATTGCTCCTGCCCTGTGCGGTGGCCGGATGGCAGGTTGAAGCCGATGAAGATCAAGTGGCGAGACTATTGTTTCCGTGTAAAAATCTATCAGGCCGACCTGCAGAGTGATGCCTGAGCGGACTGTGACGGGTAAGGTTTTAAATAAAGGTATTTCATTGCCATGCGGGGTCACAACATGTCCAAAGCAATGGCCCAAACACAGGTAGATCCACTTGTTTCAATTTGTTTCAATTTGTTCAGTTTCTATCTTTTTTGGTCGTGGTCTTGATTCGCATCCGTCATCACCCGGAGAAAACTTGTGCACCTCCAAGCGACTCATGCCGTTTCTTGCCAGGCAGTCAATCTCCCAGCAAAGGACTGCTCCGGCAGCTGTTGGGGCAGCAGTGAAGCCACTCTGAAATCGAACCAGTGGATGCATAGAACCACCTACTGAACCTTATACCCACTTTTTTTTTCGGGACGTGTGTTGCAAAATTCAAATAAATTAACTATTTTAGTCATTTACTAGACCATGCTGGAACATGCTGGAAAATGCAAGAGTTGTCAAAATCAGCACTGCGATTACAGTGATTACAGTAACATCCCTCGAACTTGAAGAATGAGATCATTTGATATGTCACGTCCTCCAATATTCTTTGGTTGACCTGTACCACTACCCGGTGCCACCGCAAAGCTCAAGTTTCATGGCTACATTGTCCAGCAGCAATCGCTGCAACCGTACCTACCATATTCTAAATGCTTGGCGCCCTTCCATGCGCAACTCATGTAACTTCGCCATGTTTTTCAGCTCCATCTCCCTGCATTGCCTGATTTTCGCTGGTGCCTCCGCCTCCTGCGATCGCACTGAGCTGTTGCAACACGTCACCCTTGGCGGCTCCCAGCTGCGACCGCTCAGCCGCTCGAAGTCGCTGGTGCAACGCGTCACCGGTGGCCACTCCAAGCACCGGCGACCGCCGACCAACCGCACGGAGGCGGGGCTGCGCGACGTCGCGGAGTACCTGCGACGGGCGAAGGGCGAATGTTTGCGGAGCAGTGTGGAGTGTTTGCCCGCGCTGAAGCAGGTGGGGGGCCAAGATATGCCAAGATCCTTCAAACTGATCAGGGGCAGCCATGTTCAATAGTATAATATGTATAGTTAATCGAAATGATCACATATTATCACATTGTTTGGGCTACCTTCCAATGTTTGATCAACAGAGTTTATTCATCCGGGGTTGGCATTATATTATGTAGGTATAATATTATATATATATATATATATTAATTCATTATATATATATATATGTATGAATTTGTGTATCTGTATGGATAGGTATGTACGTATATGTATATGTAACATGTAACATGTTTATAGGTATCAATAAGAGCCAGAAATGATGTTCACACTTTGGGTCATGTATCACGCGCTGCTTGGGGATTCCAGACTGTCCCATGGCTACCTGGGTCGCTGCTCAGGTGCGCTTTAGGGCCTGGTTCTTTCTTCAGGACCTTGTGCGTCCCAGGAAGAAATCTTGGCCGCTGCTGGATTTGCATCCGCAAGTCTTCCACAGCAGATGCAACTGGGTGGCTGGGGATGACTGGGTTTGGGGAGACTGTGATTGCTCCCAGCTGGCTTAGAAAGTTGGGTTTCACAGCCCAACTTTCTGTGTATATTATAAATATATATATATATACACACCTAGTAACTAGTATATTTTTGTACCATAAACCTTGGTCATTTTTTTTATATTTTATGTCTTATGGTTATTTAGCATTATTTAGCTATATAGCCATTGTAAAATATGTGCACCAACTTTGCTGATAATGTGGCACCACTCTGCAGGTTTCAAAACAAGTGAAGCTGCAGATGTTTGGTTAACCTAACTTTCCTGGCATTTCAATGTGTTTCAACATTTTAAGCTTTAAATTTGAAGCGTTTGTTTGTTGGGGGGGACATTGACGGAGAGATATAGGTGAGCACTGACTAAAATGTGCGGCCCAGTCGTTGGCAGCATTACTTTAGCATTTAGTTTCATCGAATCACTTCTTGCACTCCATCAATCTATTGCCTCATGTCTTTAACAAGAGGCAGCAGATTGGCTCCGCACTGCATCTGGCACTTGAGGTACTCGGCTCAGCAACAACAGCATCCTCTTTCTAGATCTGTCCACCTCTGCTTCAGCCACCACCCGGGCGAGCTTGGAGGCAATGTCCGACTTTCAGGTGGTGAAGGCTTTTGAAGATGACGTCCATTGGTGCGAGACACATGGCTGGTGCATAGTGAGCTTTTCGGTACTCAAAGCTGGAAATGGACAGTTTCTGCAGTTGTAGTGATTGACCTAAGGTTCTTGGGGATTTGTTGGTGGACTTTTGCCGTGCAGGTTGAAATTACAGTAGGGGTTCATCAGCTTTTGGAAGAGAAATCCCCAGGATGGACGAGTTGAATCATTGAAAGTTCCCATTGATTTGCACACACTGGTGAGTTTCGGGGATTTGGGCCAAAACATGCCTGGAGATTATGATCATACTCAGCTGAACGTGTTTTGGATACTAAATGGGCTGACTGTTTTGAAGTTGCCCGATGATCCTCCATCACAATGTTTTTTCTTGTTTTGCTGCTTGTGTTCTTCACAAATGTCAAGCTAGCACTGTAGCGAAGGCTGTAAATATTCAGTGATGTTTCCGTTGTCTTCCTGCTGATTCTCTGGCTTGTTTGCTAAATATTTGTGGTTAATCAAATGACCCGGATCATTTGATCATATACCGAGGTTTGATAAACTATATGATAAACTATATCCTATGTTTAACATATAGTTTATCATAAATTTAGTTTATCAATGTTTATCATATACCGACCACCATGGAACTTGCAAATCCCATCCAGGTGGATCCTAAGTCCTGAATCCCAGACATTCCACCAGGGGCTTCAACTGCGGGAATTGTTTATGTCATATTTCATATTACCCTCTGGTAATTTAACATAGCTATGGAAAATGGTCCATTTATATTTGATTTACCTATTAAAGTTATTGAAGATAGTGATTTTCAATAGCTATGTTAGTTTACCAGAGGGTAGAGGAAGTCAGGAAGGTGATCATACAATTAAACTATTGAAGTTTATTAAAGTGATTACCTCCGGCAATCAAACATGACAATGGAAAACGCGCCATTTAGTTCCATGATTTCCTTATAAGACCTTCCAAATACAGAAGGGGTTTCCCAGCAAGCCATAGTTGTGATTACCGAAGGATCATATGGTGTTAACTATAACATACTAGAACTATATAGAGACGGAAAATCACCACAAATAGATGATGTGCCATCAATATATAAATATAAATTAAAATAAATGAAATACACATATATATATATAATTGTATATATATATATATACACATCTCTCATATACTCACGGTCAATAGCAGCATTATAAATAAATTATATATATACATATATATATATATATACACATAAGCATGTCATAAATGACCACAGGGCAGATGCTTATCTCATCAAGTGCTATGTTGCCACCAAGGAACCTACATCTCCATGAACCACAGCCGGAAACCCGGGTCTTCACTTTGGTTCAGGACCTTAGTGAGGGAGAGGTGGCTGGTTTTCTGAGTCTTTGTTTGGCCATGTTTAGATCAGGAATTATTTGATTAGATAGTTATATAGTTACTATTAGTTGGTGGTTGGAAGTTTCATGTGTTGTCACATGTGTTGTCATGTTTTGTGTCAACATGTTTCAGTCAAGTTTGGGATAATGTGGTTCCCGCATGACTAAACATGACTTTTTTGGGGGGAGGGGGGAGGGGGCGAAACACCAATCAGTCAGCACGATGTGATGTCATAGGTTTGGTTAGAATAAAGCTATGCACGGTAAAGCCCTCAAATGTAGGCAAATTGGACAGTACAGTAATTTGGTTCTTTTAATCCGAATAACTGAAAACACAACATTATTAATTTGAGAAAAACATTCTAAGGCATCGAAAGGAAGCATCAATCACAGCAGATGATAGTATATAGTAGCCGCACGACCCAGGATCCCTTGGATCGCTTCATGGCTGCTTATGCAGACATGGACGCAGACAAGGTCGACGTGGACCACAGTGGCAGCTATGAGTTCCTGCACCTGGAAGGACTGGAGCGAGCCAAAGCTTTTATGGAGAAATTCATCAAATTTGGTGACCAGTTTAGCAGCCCGGATGATGATTTTTCTTCGCCTTTTTTGAGCCTGAAGTTCTGAAGTGTTATTTTTTCCAGTGGTGGATGGCAGTTTTTGTTCAAGCAAAGTTTCCGTGCACCCAAAATGCCAAGCTATTGATGGGCCAAGCTGTTCCTAGATAAAATTTTCAGGAGCTGTTAAGCCCACATTGTCTAGTATTGCAGCACATCTTGCTGCATGTTCTAGCCATTTTCATTCCCTTTTTCCCTTCCTCCAGCTACAGGTAGCCACGTGAAGCCACAATCGGAACATCTGGCCCCAGTCAGTGGCGATTGCGCCTTGAAACTGGACTTCATCGGGAAGAGCGAGCGCTTCGAAGAGGACTGGATAGCCTTTTTTCAGGCGCAGCGCTGTGCGTCGGAGCCACGGCCCCCAGCGCAGTTGGTGAGTGCGGCGCAGGCAAAGAGGTGCGGGGAGTTTGGGGTGGCTGATGTGGTAAAGTACATTTTCTCGATACAACAAGGGATACATAGGGGGATAATATGGGATAATTTTAAGGGGCAATTGCTGCACCAATTTTCAGCAACATTCCGGGAAAGACGTGTCTTGGGTACATTCATCTAAATTTGATTATATAACCCTCTCTCCTTCACAGAGGCTGGTGCTTGAATTTCATGATGCAAAAATGGTTGCAAACACTTCTAGCTGGGTGGCGTTCAGTGTTGATCCTGTTCCCATATTTTTTGGGATGCCACTAAAATAACATGCTCCGCCTCAGGTATAAGTCACGAAAGGTAGCCTAGGCTACCTGAGTTCTATGTACTTTAGTACTAGTTTAGTACTGGGGGAGGTGGCTGCTCCTTTCCCGGAAATTGAGACCCGAGAGTCACGAACGGAGACTTAGGGGGGGGGGGCCCCCGAGAGTTGGACTGTACCGGACTATGAGGCAAACGTGTATGTATATACATACATATATATATATACACATCATGTATGTATGTAATGTAATGTAATGTCATGTAATGTAATGTAATGTAATGTAATGTACGGTAATGTAATGAATGTATGTATGTATGTGTGTGTGTATGTATGCATGTATTGAACAGCAGCATCTGCGCGACGAAGTCGGTGCCTGGCAGAACAACAGAAAACACCGGCTGTCACGAAGACTGTTAGTTTCAGAAGCACAGATTGATAACAGACATATGAGCACCGTCAACTGCAACAGCACTAGCAAAGATCACAACATCGCAGCGTGGTGGACCTGCCAAGCGACGGCGGCAAGTGCAGTAATGTAGCTCCCACTGAAAGCAAGCAACACAAGAATAGCGGCAACCGATTGCACAGAAACTGTTCTGATCGGTCATGAACGTGATCTTTTTTCTGTCGCTCACATGGCCGCGTTCAGGCGCTAGATCTTCGCACGGCGCGTCAATCCATGCAAGCTAAAGCTAGCTCCTTTGGCTATAAACGGTATATACTGCACACGGACTCCGGATCAAGTTCAAGATAAGGTAACAGCTACATCGAACAGCACGGACACCTACGGACAACCGCGGACGGTCACAAAGTCCAGAAAGTCTCCTCCAGTTGCACTTCTGCGATACACAGCCAAGCGGCGTATGGCAACGACACCTCCGCTGCAGACTCCCACGCGGCACGCAGCATGCCGAGGTCGCCCACAGCAGTTTCAAACTGACTCTTATGGTACCTGCCGACGAAGGCATGAAAGTCACGCCAGGAGGTTCCTTGTGGCACGACCGCTTCCAGCTGCAACACTGCTGCATTATTCTCCAGAACCTTAAGAAGGGACCAGTCGTCCATGGAGGCCACGCAGAGAAGACGTCTGACCCGGGCCAAGATGCTGCAGTCTTCGCCTTCCAAGTCATAGACTCTGCCCTCTGTCTGCTCCAAGCACTCAAGACATGACATCCATGCTTCCTTCCAATCTCCAGCAGAAATCTGACTGTCAATCGTCCTTGGGCTCCCAAACGTTTCTTCCATACATTGGCGAAAGAGGCGCAAGGCGGTCAGAGAAATCGTATAGTGAGTTTCTATTCTAATACCGGCAAAAGAGATCAAAAGAGCAAGACATTTTACACAGCAAGAATGACCAAAACTGAGCCGAGAGCTCCTGCAGCAGAGATCGATTTTTTTTTTTCAGTTCTTCTAGTGTTACAAATCAGCAAGCAAACTTGGAATTTCTATGTGTATATAGTATATATATATATTTCTCTCTCTCTCAACATGCGTATTACATAGTCATTATGATTGGTTGATGTCTACTGCTGAGACCACTGCTTCGAACAGTATGTTCAGAAACGGCAGCATCTGCGCGATGAAGTCGGTACCCGGCAGAACAACACAAAATAACAAGCTGTTATATCTATACAGAAAAGGCGACGTCATCATGAAGTCTGTCAGTTGCAGAAGCAACAGTACTGTCAAAGCTACGTTGACATCGCTTGTTTGGGTGCGATGCAATCATATCCGATGTCCTCTCATGTCACTTCTCCGCGCAGCATGTTAAAGCTTTCAGATGTGATGTGATGTTTGCTGGCTCCAAGCGGTCGTGTCATGTTGTATGTTGTCTGTGCCTCCATGCTTTCGAAGTGTGCTGTTATGTGTCGTGGCCGTTGTGTCATTGCTGTCTGACTGCGTGCTGTCAAATGTCACTTCTCCACACGGCGTGTTAAAGCTTTCTAAGTGTGATGTTGTGTGTGGTGGCCGTGGTGTCACTGCTGTCTGACTGCGTGGTGTGAAATGTCTACAGCTGCAACATGTACCACCATCTCGTCGAAATGCGCCACCAGAGCCAACCCAGTGCCATAAGTGCCACGCCTGCCACGCAAAGTGATGATCCATGTCATCAAGCGCGACGCCTACCACACAAAGTGAAGGTGGATGTCACAAAGTGCCACGCCTGCCACGCGCGGCGGCGTCCCAGCGCGGCCTGGGAACCAAGCGCGCCACCAGAGCCAACCCAGTGCCATAAGTGCCACGCCTGCCACGGAAAGTGACGATCCATGGGTTGACAAGTGCCACGCCTGCCACGCAAAGTGACGATCCATGTCATCAAGTGCGACCCTGCCACACAAAGTGAAGGTGGATGTCACAAAGTGCCACGCCTGCCACGCAAAACGCCGCGGCGTCCCAGCGCGGCCTGGGAACCAAGCGCGCCACCAGAGCCAACCCAGTGCCATAAGTGCCACGCCTGCCACGCAAAGTGACGATCCATGTGTTGACAAGTGCCACGCCTGCAAGTGCCACGCCGCCACGCAAAGTGACGATCCATGTCATCAAGTGCGACGCCTGCCACACAAAGTGAAGGTGGATGTCACAAAGTGCCACGCCTGCCACGCAAAACGCCGCGGCGTCCCAGCGCGGCCTGGGAACCAAGCGCGCCACCAGAGCCAACCCAGTGCCATAAGTGCCACGCCTGCCACGCAAAGTGACGATCCATGTCGCCAAGTGCCACGCCTGCCACGCAAAGTGACGATCCATGTCATCAAGTGCCACGCCTGCCACACAAAGTGAAGGTGGATGTCACAAAGTGCCACGCCTGCCACGCAAAACGCCGCGGCGTCCCAGCGCGGCCTGGGAACCAAGCGCGCCACCAGAGCCAACCCAGTGCCATAAGTGCCACGCCTGCCACGCAAAGTGACGATCCATGTCGCCAAGTGCCACGCCTGCAAAACCTGACATGGCACGACGGCAACACTCGATGCAACTGCGCACACAGCACTAACCGACGCAGCTTGACTCTGCCTGTGTGCTGGTGCCCGGTGGACAAGTAGTGTGAAGACAAGTAGTGTGAAGACAAGTGGTGTGATGACAAGTGGTGTGCTGAGAAGTGGTCTGATGACAAGTTGTGTGATGACAAGTTGTCTGTGGACAAGTAGTGTGAAGACAAGTAGTGTGATGACAAGTGGTGTGATGAGAAGTGGTGTGTGGACAAGTTGTGTGTGAGCAAGTTGTGTGTGTGAGCAAGTGGTGTGAAGTGATATCAAGTTGTCTGATGACAAGTTGTCTGTGATGACCACGCAAACGGCGCAAACCGCGCAAACCACGCAAACGGCGCAAACGGCAAACGGCGCAAACCACGCAAACGGCGCAAATCGCGCACAAACGGCGCAAACCCCGCAAACGGCGCAAGCGGCGCAAACCGCGCAAACCGCGCAAACAGCGCAAACCGCGAAAACGGCGCAAACGGCGCAAAAGGCGCAAACCGCGCAAACCCCGCAAACGGCGCAAACCCCGCAAACCCCGCAAACCCCGCAAACCCCGCAAACGGCGCAAACGGCGCAAACCGCGCAAACGGCGCAAACGGCGCAAACGGCGCAAACCCCGCAAACGGCGCAAACGGCGCAAACCACGCAAACCGCGCAAACCACGCAAACGCCGCAAACCACGCAAACGCCGCAAACGGCGTAAACGGCGCAAACGGCGCAAACCGCGCAAACCGCGCAAACGGCGCAAAAGACGCAAAAGGCGCAAACGGCGCAAACGCCGCAAACGCCGCAAACGCCGCAAACGGCGCAAACGGCGCGCAAACCGCGCAAACAGCGCAAACC